GAAGACAGATGCATTTTCTTCAAAACCTTCGCTGTGCCCCTGGTTTTAAGTCTTCAAAATGTTGGGGTTCGACGGAAGCTCACGGAGCGCAGTAGGCCGTAGGGGTTCGACGGGCTTGCAAAGGTTAAAAACAACTGGACCTATCAGTGAGAGATATTAAAGGTGACGTAACAGTCAAAATTGTAGTTATTTGGACACTTTTTTCCGCTCAGACAGATTCTTTTCTGGAGTTGCCAAAATTGGCTCGCTCATGTGCCTATGCTAGCTATGTGCCAGGTATTTTTATGTTTCTAATCAAATGAGAAAGCAATGCTCAAAATATATGGACAGGAAGGCCAAAACGAAGTAGTGAAATCTTTTGTTTGTACCGGTTACGGTAGTCTACTCCCGATTTCGCTGATTATGAGATCGCTGAAATGCGATCGCGTAACTGCCACAAAGTACGCAATTTTCAATTTTGAAGACGTCATCACACAAAAATTTAAAGTGAAAAACGAATTCCACAGAGCACACATAACTTTATGAAATAAATAAAGAACAACAATTTTCCAAAACGATCCATATGATATCCCATTGTGGGTGTGAAACAGTTTTTAGTCTGTAAGCGCCAACTCCTGGCAACACTTTCAACACTGCCCAGTTAAGATGCCCATCGTCTCAAAGCGGTAGACCTAGAAACCTATCAATTTTCATACCGCCTGTCGGAAACAGATTTCTGCTTACAATCAGAACAACAGTAATACCTGCACGCACAGTTGTGGCCTTGTTGGGTACAAGTCTATTACCACGAAGTTCATATTTAGGAAATTTTCATGCCGGACCTCTACCCATTTTGCATGCTAATTTGTCTTAATCCGGTAAAGGCGTTCCGACTTTGGCGGAATAGAAAGATGCGATACTTCCTACTAGCCTAGCAGTAGATGAACAAACACCATGACATGATAATTAACAAGAGAGCTGTGCTCAAATATATGGACACGAATTTGGATGACGCAATAGCAAAAAATAAAAGTAATAGCCCTCTAGCCAAAAATGAAATCTTTAATCACTGAAAATTTCAAAACGCTTGGTCCAGTAATCAAAGAGAAAAGCGACTTTCTAAAAACGTGTCAAAGAACAACAAGAACAACAACAACATAATATTGAAACGATCGTTATGTACGCTGACGTGTCCAATTATGAGCAATTGTGTGCTATTACCGAAAACTCCCTTTTGGTGAAAATTGTACTTGGCAAAACGCTTAGACGGTGACGACTAGCCTACTAAATCTAGGGGCTTCTTTGCCCGAAGGTACTATTGCAGAGAATTTGTGATCGAGTTACTCATTGTATATATCTAAATGCTAGAAAATTTGTGCGCAATTTTTGTTGCGGAGTATTTTCGCAATTTTGCGTGTGCAAAATCGTAATTTTGTTTCAAAACAAACATCCCCTATTAAAACTCTTTGAACCCTGAAAGCCGGTTTAGCGGCTTTCCCGAGAAAGTCTTCTGACGCTGAAAGCCGCTTTAGCGGCTTTGGCATCCCGTATGAGCTATGCAACTTTGAAACCCTCATATCTTGCGAACCATATATTATATTTAGACATCGTGTGAAAGATAATCTACAGAACTAGTTATAATTTAAAAATTGAGATAAAATATTGTGATCATCTTGTGAAAATTGGCAAAATTAAAAAGCATAAAAAACTTCTGAAAAACTCCTAAATCTAATTGGAAATACTTCTATTTGTTGTCTTTTTAACCTACTACATTATCGACAACATTTGTAGAAGTTGAAAATAACTTTCCAGTGATACCATTAGATTGAAATTATGCTGCGCCATTTCAATTTTAGAAGCATTTTTATTCGTGATTTTGTTTGTCGCAAGATCGAGGCGACGTCAAGGTGACGTAAATAACGACCTAACACATTTACGCCGTTACGCAGCGACGTTAAGCAATTACGTTGGCGCGTAGCGCGTTTACGTTCCATACGAAAAACACTTTTCCCCTCATGCTCGTAACGTCATTTACTTAAATTCGTACTCATGAAGTGACTAACGACTTGTAAACGATACACGGGGGAATTTACGCAATACATCTAGCCTCAAAATCTGTTCGACTAAAACACACAATATGCAGTGTTATTGCCGTTTTAATTGCATAAAGATATGAAAAATACGGATAGCAAAATTATGGATTTCTAAAAACGGAATGATGGAACATATCGATGGATGCATTGTTTAGCGCCAATGCTGGACTTCATTGTGCCATATTTTCTTCTTCTGATAGATGAATACTATCCAATATTTCATCTGGACAAAGCTTTCGTTTAAAATCCATTGTAAATATAGCGATATCAGGAATGTAGCGTGTATGCAGTAATTTCGAAAATCTAATGAGGCCGCAAAATGTAAAACACTGACCAGGTGAGCTACTGGTGCCACTATGTCTTCCGCGTTCCCGTTATCAGTTTTTTTTATTCAATTTTCATGATATCCAACGGTGAATTATTAGCCAAGATGTTTCCGGCGGAACCTCATAAATGCATGAGGATCAAATATTTCACTTTGGCCATTCATTTTCGTCCCATATTCAAATAATAAACGTATATAAAATGGCCCTTATATTCTAGCAATTTTACTATCTTCGATCAAGATTCGTCTGAATAAAAGGGTTATATCTGCGGCCGAGGATATGATACTGATGCAATGATGACACAATCTGAACTCAAGCTGTGAACGCAATTGCGCAATCTACCTCACGCAAAACGTTAAGCACGAAACGCCATGTGAACGTTATCACGACAATGTCGTCGTCGCCCTTTGCGTCGTTACGCAAACTTGGCGTCAAAATAGTTGATCAATTTTGTTCGCAAACCATTGGAATCGATAGTACAAATACTGCAATAAAATGAGTTATGCGTATGTTAAGAAAGTCATCCGTATATTCACCGAAAGGTAATTTTGTATACTTTTCAATATTTTACTCATATTGATGATACATTTTTAAAAAAGGCATCAAATCTTATCAAAATACAAAAAATTGGTAGGTGGGACCAAAAATTACACATCTCATCGAAACATCTCGTAAAAAATAATGCCAGTTTAAAATAAAAGACTAAATAAGCTTTTATATGACATATTACAGACCATCTGATATCTAATGGTTTAGAAGTTATGTTGATTTAAAATTAGAGATATTACAATCTTTTAAACGCGTCAAATCGATGCGATGCCGTGGGAGGTCAGGGTGAGAGAGTAGCGTCGTTCTGGGGATTCAGAGTTCAAAGAGTTAAAAATAGCAGCGAACTCTAGCCTGGTCTATCAAGTGTTTTAGGCTACGTAATTGAATTATTGCAATTGAAACATTTCCGAAAACAAAATGACCGCTATCAAAATTAGAAAAGAAATTATGTGGTATTTTGAAAAATTTTAAGGGAAATATAAAACAGGCAGGAAAACTGGCTGTTGCTCTAAACAGAACTTTCACAAATAGTTTGGAGTTTTGCTAAATTGATATTTTGGTTGAAGGTATTTCGAACAAACATCAGTCAAATCAGAATGCAAAACGTTAAGAAAAAGATAAATTAGGAAGTTGTAAAATGGACGAACCATAGAAGGCATTGAAGTTCTACAATATTTAGGTAGTTTTATGTCTCCATTTTATTGCAACAAATGTAGCTTATCTGCGTTAATGCGAACTTTAAGCATGGATGGGTGAGAGATATGCCACCCTCGCATGTTATAGTCGGTTATGTATAAAACTTAAACTTTGAACGAACGGATAATATTTTTTCACCGCTCCTGGTTTTGCTAAGAGAAAAGTTGAAATTTAGATTTCAAGTATGGGTTTCGCACTCGACTGGTTTTACCTTTCTATATATGTTCAAAGTGCAAAAAGCATTGTTTTCTGAGAGCGTCAAGTTTTCGCTGATGTTTGGTTCTGTTTTTAGATTTTTAAGTATAAACAACAATCAATCATTTCCCGTATTCCCATCTCTCAACTTGATTGCAGTCACCATTAGATACAATACAATACAGGCAATACAGGCACAACTATTTTTTCTGCAGTTATTGACAGTTCATGATAATAGCGCTGGTAAGCAGTTAACCGGTTAATCGTATTTGGATGAGTAACAGTTATAATACATTATTATTTAGTGATCTTCGATTTACGGGATCATTATTGAAACTTCGCCTAAAAAATGCATCAAAACACTTCCAAACTGTGATTGCTAGTATATAATAGAGATGTGGCATAACTAAGGTCAGCTTCAGTTACTGACCAGAATATGGTGTCCATCATACAATAAAAATTAAATGATAGTAAATTGGAAAGCCCCTTAAATGGAATTCGACAAATTAGGATTGTATCTTAATTTTACTTGTCGATGTTGATTCACGTTGCGCCTTTGACACCAATAGCGGTTGAGCGTAAAATTTCCCTGCTTAGCGGCTTAAGTGTTTTCATCAAAATTCTCATCAATAATACCATTAAACGTTGCCTCGAAATGGCTGTAATGTAAATGGAGCGCAGCAGACAAGCGTTTTGAAAACATTGCAGTTCAAAGAAATTCGGAGTAATTAATCAATCTTAACTTTTGATAAAAATAGAAAACATCGGTATTATCCGTTCAGATTGTTGATAAAACTTATTTACATTGGTAATTTTGAATGTCAAATGCAAAGGTACTTTCTGGCGTGAGGATGTTATTTTACCAATTAGTGAACATTAGGAATGTGTATAGCGTGTATAACTCATATGCACAACATGGTTCATCCGCCCATGAAGTATTCTGTTTTCACGTATGCTTGAGTTTTGTTTAAACAAGATTTTTTGCGGCACTGCTTAAAAATAGTCGGTGTAGTTAGAGCATAATTATTTATTGTTGATTTGCTCTAAACAAAATACTCAATATATATATCTCAATAATCGTATGATAAAAAGCTCGACAAGATTATAGGCAGTATAAAAAGTGTTTTTATGTTATTGTAAAGAGACATACATTAAGGTCAATTACAAACTCAGAATACATAACTCTGATAAAATGGAAATGAAAGATTCGTTACATTTTGAAGTTCCATTCACACTGTTATTTAGACAATGGAAAGTAGTTAATACAAAAGGTAAAGTTTTTCAATTTTTGTTGAATTTTTATTGTTAATTGACATTGATAATGTCCAAAAAATAAATTATTGTAAAAAGTCTACTTTTTATACATTCTATCTACGCAAAGGTACAGTAATTTTTTTCAGATGCAATACTTTCTTGCCTCCTGCTGATGATTATATCGTTGTTGTACGAATGCTTAAAATACGGCCGATCCCACCTCAACACCGTCTTAGGAAAAGCAATCAACCATACGGAAGAGCGGGCAACATCCAAAGTGATTAGAAAGGTGATTCATATTTTGATTGATTGATAGTTCAGCATTTGTATTCACTGAACTCAAACTGTACGTTATGGTATCATAATAAATCAAAATAGCACCAGTACATTCAAAACTCTAAACAGATTTTACCTATTGCTTTTGTTTTTATTAAAATAAATCAGTGCATACAAAAACAAACACGTAAGCTAATGACTATTGGTGTATAAAAAGTATAGTGTCGATGACCAATATGATAGAATGAAGTGAGATAGGAAACAATTGCCACGTATTTTGTTTGAGTCTACCTATGTGGTTCAGTGTTTTATGGCCTACATAACCAGCCACATTTATGAAAATTTCCAATAATCATGAGCGAACCATTCACTATTTACGATTGTTAGTGCAGTTGCGGGTGAGGAGACAGAGTTTAAAAATTGTGATCGTAGCTTCATTCTTTCAAAAACATAAATGTTTAGTTTTCGTATTTCTAATATCTGCAGTTAATACACGGTCTAATATTGTTAGATTTGGGGAATTTTGATCTTATTTAAAACTTACTTAATTGTTTATGAAATGCCATGAAAGCATAATACTATAGATATGCAGAAAAAAGTATATATATTTGTATGTTTCAACAGCACATCACATTTGTAATAAACTCACCTATTTAGGGCTCAATATTAGAGAATTGTGTGCTACCTTATTCATGATCGGAAATGGTGTTTATGCGGATTAAATTTTGCAGATTTTATGAAAACATCTCAAATTTTCATAAAATAATATTCATAATAAAATCTAAAATTTCAGGTTTCCACTTCCCCTTCATGCCAATGCGTACCGATAAATAGTACCAAACAACTGATTCGTACTCCCAAAGTAAAAAGATCGAAGTGTTCATCGATTAGAAGGTAAAAGTCAGTGAATATTGATAACGATACATACTTAAACTGCATTTTAAGACGAGGATATATGTTTTCCAATATTATTCCAATAAGTTACTTGTTGGAAATTTTTATATTAATTTTCTAATCTATATCTTTTCTTGCGCTATATTTGTCTGTAAATAGAATCTATAGTTGAGTGAATGAAATGCGTAATTGGAACACAATTATGAATGGAAGTAGTAGCCTATCACGTGTTTCACCTATAACAAAAAAGCGCTCCTTATATTTCTCTCTATATAAAAACTACATGGTTATTCTCGTGGTCTGCTTTTTACATCACATTGACTGTCAATTTCATTCGTTATAATCCGTTACCTTTCATTTAAACAGATTTTTGAAGTCTTCAGTCCTAATATTGCACTTGACTTGCTGCCTCATGTACGGGCTAGAAATGTTCATATCACTGTCTCTTATGTTGTCGGCAATGTCATTTCACATTGGTGTAATAGTCAGCATAGTTGTTGGAGCAGTGTCGGCAAAAATTATTCTGATGTGGCCAAGGGGTACAAGACCAGTCAGTGATAATGTGTTAAATGATACTCAATGTCATTAAAAGCGACGATGAAACGACGCTTGACATGACTCAGTTTTGCACGAACAATAGAAGAATGATCAATCAACGTGAAGTTAAAGCGTTCTCTACCAGACGCTATTTACTCGCCATAGTTTATAGCTGTTTCTATATTTCATGTTGTTCCATAATGATTGCTTATAGTACACATATAAAAAAATGTCTTTCCATTACAGCATTTGACATGATTCCAATTATCGGGTGTCCCGTTTCAACAAATGATGAACGTGCTCACTTATCAATTATAGTCAAATTTGCATTTTCCAACTGTTTTTGTATGCCTCAATATCGTATTTCGGAAACGAATACCCGCATTTAAACCTGAAGCATATTACATATGGATAGAGATAGTGTCAAGACTGGTCTTACTCATTGGTCATTAATCCTTAACTTAAATATGTCAGTAATTCTACTAAGCTGCATTTAATCTTTTGTCATGCTGGTGATACATTTTTACCAAATTTTTCGAGCCCATCATCCTCTGATATGGAGTATTTATTGTGTTGATGAGTTCTCAACAAAACATGCCCTTCCCCAATAGTTTTCTGTGATTACATCGATTTTGTTGAGGTTTTATTTGACAGACCAACTTTTCTAATAATCATTTTCAATGTGAACCTTAATCACATCAGCAAATAGGGTGGGAGTTGACCTCGATCGCATCATGGTCGTATCGCTCCCTCCCGTCAATACCAAAGCAATTTTATTTGTGTTACGTATTTTTTTTCGTATTGATGATTGTTTGTATGACAAAATAATATATACGGTATCTCTCTCTAAAGAAACCATCCATAACAGGAATCACGATTGTTACAATTTTGCTATAGGGTCATCTGGTAAGATAAATCGAATATCGCTCAATCGTGCTTAGGGACAAGAATATGAAAAACGCAAGTTAATTTGACAACAGTTTTTGTCTTATCTTAAAGCGATGATGTTGCAAAAATAATGCATTTCTATTGACCTATTGATACATGCGTGTGGCGCGCCTAATAAGGTAGTCATTTACGTCAGATCAATGATACGAATATATATATAAATTGTTTTAATTATGATAACCATTACGGTATTGATAAAAATCCAGCGTCAAATGAGGCAATGACGTGTGAAAAATTGTATTCATTACATCTTCGGTAGAAACCAAGACAAAGCGCTATGGATCATTATATACATATAAAATATTTAGGTCACACTTTATGATAATATATATTACTGGCCTGTATTCTAACGTGTAAGATTTCATTTTAAATTATTATATATTTTGAATCAAATACCATGCGTTAAGTGTGTAGATGACTTCTAAACATTCTTAAAATTGTTCGATTCGTTTTTTTAAATGAAAATGAACACGTTCAAAATTTTGAAACTTGTTTTGGATTCGTTCCAACGCATACTGCAGAATACGTTTTGTACCGATGGTATAAATCTCTTACGTATAAAATATTAAACGCCCACCATGTGCATGCTTTAATTATAACAACAACGGATGGAGTGGGTTTAGTATTAAAAGGCGGCCTTCGAAGCAATTACGATGTTGTAATTAAGCACAGTTTTAAATTCCCTACTGTGATCTATACATATATATATGAGAGAATCAACTACAGAACGTTTGAAGTATCGTTAAGGTAAGAATTTAAAACATATATTTTGAAATAAGTTAATCGTATGCATAACGTGCCTCATATTTTCGTGTTTGTATTATGCGTTCAAGTAAAAACATATGCGTTTATTGTAACATACAGGTGAGAACATTTCTGGTTCATAGACTTCATCATTAGTAAGTTAGATATTGTATTTTATCATCGCGAGTGATTACGTTATATATACTGTATAGAGATATCTGAATCAAACTAGCCGGGAACATTCAAGAGTTTCAATATTTCCCTTACTCGCAATATTCATCAATTTAGCCAGTAAATTACAGCATAGCGCTTATAACAGTTCTGGCAATACCCGAGTTTTAACAAATTCAGATTTGTAATTTCCATTAGGCTGTTTTGGTTCGTTAATATCCACGACAGTTCTCGCTCATGTAAAATTGGATTTTGTTAGCAATCCTCACTAACAGAATGTCCGGGTCTTTTGAACACACTTATGCGCCGTCATTTAAATCATTACAAACAAAATAAATGTTAGCCGTCCGGACTGGGCTGTACTTGCTATATTCACATTCCAAAATTTTTTTTATTCAACTTGCGAAAGCTAAAATTACCCTCGGAATTACTGTGGTCATATATTTTAAAAAAAAATTAGGAAAATTTACATACGTATGAAGCGTACTTTTTGTAAAAATAATTAACGAATAGAACAACTTTCGACCTGAAAAAAGTTCCAGTAGTAGATACGGCCATTGGAAAAATGTACTTTCCCCAATCGATTTAAGTTCGACGACCTCATATCTGGCTCTGTTATTGTCTGGTATGAAAGGTAAACGTTCGTGAAACTTATACTTTATGAAATTTATGTTTTAAATATAACGGCATATGTATTCTCAAATCTCTTTCGAAAATTTAAATTAAAGTCACCAAAGTACTAAAAACATATGTGCTCATAGAATGTATATATATATATATATGAATATGATATTAAAATTATAACATATTGTAGCTGGAATATTTGACGTTAATATTTTGCATGAACGTATGGAATTTGAAAGACGGTCCAATTCCCCGTTATATTTATCTAAGATTGGTTGTATCAAATTCTTGAACATTTTCTGCATATTTCCATTAAAACTCAACATTGTGTCTTTTTTATACGATATGTGTCTTATCTTAACCCATATCCCATTAGCATTTTTGACCATCACGTATGTAGTGCAAATTTTACGAAAACTGGGTTATTGTTTTCGGGTATTTCCGGGTTGGAGAGGTCACAGCAACATGGAGTTTATGCCTTTATTCTGATTAAACCATTTTTGCGATCCAAATCTTCTGTATACATTTTTTATGGGTATTATACATTAAATCGAACAATATACTATGAAATAAAAAACCTTGGGCACGATCCGCTTGTGTCATTTGTGAGAAGAGCAGAGCAGGTTAAATAAAATACTACCGACCTATGATTCAGAATGCGTGGCGGAAATTGAGAACGTTAAGAATAAAGTGACAATCAAAATAGAATCTGAACGCTTGGTAAAGTGATGAATAATATATACCGACGCATAGTCTTAGTTACCGTACATCTGCAGTTTAGACTGCGATGTTACACAATGTTTCACTTCGTTATTAAAGGTTACATATTTGTACATTCAGCAGTTGACGCAAGCCGTGTAAAAGTGAGCGAGTCGATGCAACACAATTGAAGGAAATTGACCGCATGTTAATGGGACAACCATGGAGTCACAAAATACTACGCAAGAGCTATTCAGTACTGTAGTTTCGACTTTGCTGGAAGTTTCCAAGTCTCAATCGGAAACTGTACCTACAGTGACAGAATCTACAACCATAGAGGCGACAGTCACTTCTGAAAAGGGATTAAATGAAGAAGCATTTCGAATTACGGTTGGTAGCATTTTGAACGGAACTACGGTGCGTGAGGACGTCGAAATTTTGACATCAGCCTCAAATTCTGAGGATACAAACAACACAGTCCCAGTAAAAAATGATACCTTTACTTCGGTGACACCTGCGATAAATCACTCAACTACAACCGATATTTCACTGGCTGAGCTGACAACCTCTTCTGATACTGACATAGAAACATCGACGAACATACTTTCTGAATTCACCACCTACATTAGCACCCAAAACAATAGTCAACCAGTTGAATTTGAAGAAAACGAGTCTACTACAATTTCAGTAAGTTCGTCTACACTTACAGCAACTTCAGGGCCAGAAACTACACACCATATTGGCCTGACATCTGCTGCTTCAGAATCTACAATTATGTCAACGTTTGAAGGTTCCGGCGTTGGCGAAATATCAACGACCACAACAGATGCAAAATCAACATCAGTTCCTAAAGAACAAACTACTTATGAAAGTGTGACAACTTCTTACGTCATAAGTACTCCTCCGGGCCAGGAAAGTACCCAAGCTTCGCTTATTCCAAACAAATCAACAAACGCATTCTACAATTCGACGGCAACCGTCTCTACTAAAGGCATAGAATCTACTTCTTCTGCTGCTCTCATATGGGGTTTACAGCCTCTGCATTTGGGTCTCATCATAGCTGGAGCGGTCGTAGCAATAGTTGTAATTCTTCTCGTGTTGCTGTTTTACTGCAAGCGTCAAAAACAGGTACGGCAATTGCTGTCACGTTTTAATATTATTATTATTTGTATTCTACATGCAGTTATCGAAACACGTTCCTGTGTTGTTCAATGTAATTATCACACTATAAGTGACTGTGATACAGGTTGGATCGGATATTTAATATTTCTACCCCTTGTTATAAAGGTCTTTTTCAAATTAATGTTTTATAAGCTTGAATTTAAGTCAAATCAATAGTGCCGTTACCAATTTTACTTAAGGATTGATGAATAATGCAAAAGTAATTTTACTTAGATTTTTATAGATATAATGCTCTGCTCTAATTACACATGTAAAAAATAGAACATAAAAAAGCAATTGCAAATTGATGTGAAGCACGTTTTAGTATATACCAACGAGTTCACTAAAAGTTAGAATTTTTGTGATGCCATGCCGAGAGGCTTGAGAAAACTACGAAAGCTGTCATAAAAACAAGTTTGATATGTTTTAATTGCCATAAACATGATCTAATGCGTTATATCTATGTGTTTTGCAGTTGAATGAAATAAAACATAGTAAATCCGCAAGCGATGCGTGGATAACCAGACCGGGATCATCAGGGGTGGCACTGACCGATATAACGTACCGAAATGGATACGATTTCGAAAAAGGAGAATCTGGTTTGGAAGGATTAGCACAAGCACCAGTGGTATGAAAATTTTACTCATAACAATGAAGTGTTTAGTATTCGATCTATTGTATATATTATTCGATCAAGGACTTTTCGATGGATTGTTATTTTGAATATTTCTCCCAGATTATTCCACTAGTGCACTCTTTTTTACTAGGTCAATATATTCGCTTCAAACAATGCAGCATTTGATGGAGATGGAGCTTCCTCAGAGGTTGCTTGTTCGCCGTCGCATCGTGATACCATAGCTGCTCGTAACAAGGAGGCATTTTCCTCGCCAGAAAAAAGTCGCAACAAAAATTTAACCCCAGCACAGATTCCAGTCTTGTCTCCAACAAAGGGAATATCAGATCATTCATCAGTGAAAAGTGAACAGGCATCACTAAATAATTCCGTTGGTGTCTCGAGCGATGATGAGAGCGGGCGCCAGAAATCATTTCTGCACCAGTCATCTTTCTCGCCGAAAAAGACAAAAAATGACACCGATTGTTCGTCGCCGGATTTAATTCCACCTTCAGATGCTCCTCCACCACCACCAGCGCCTCCACCGCCACCTGCAGCAAGCGCATCCCTCACGCCCGACTTGTCACAGGCTACTACGGGATCTTCTTCAATTCCTCCTGCTCCGCCGCCACCCCCCGCCATATAAAGGCATTAGATGAACTGGTCTTCACCAATATTATATTTCGAGATCACGATGAACAAAAAGTGATTGAACACTTCAAAAATGAATATCGATTATTAGGAAATCTTCTTTTGATAATTTACGATTTAAGGCATTGAGCTTTGTCGATTACTTTACTTCACACGATTATTAGAATGTGGTATTATATCTTTGGAATAACATGCACAAGCATAGTTACCATTCCAAAAACATACGTGGAAATTAGAAATATAATATTACTTCAAAATTCAGAATAAAAATAACAGAAATATAAATTGATTTACTGCTTATTTGACAAGAAGGTTCAAATTTGGCATAACTATTTTAAAGTTATTACTATTGTTGTTGTTTATTCATTTTTGTATCTTGTTTTGTCGGTGATGGTATTCATGTTTTATTTTTCTATTACCAAGATTAAAATATTGCTTATTAATTATTACTTACTATTCGTTATTGAAATATCTTCTGTCGTTTAATAGTTTGAAATTAAAATTTATAAATTGACAGTCGCTGACATGTGTGATAAATAGGGATGGTCGAATCGATTCTTCGTAGAATTTACTAGAATATATTCCGATGCATTGGAATCTATTTTATTGTTGACACTTGAATTGCAAACAAGGTACGTTTTGTGATAAGCCCTTCACACAGCTATGCGGAGTTGCTACGGCGCCGCAAACTTCACTATATTTCTACACGCTCCCCCCACTCGCTCGTTTGCGCGGGTCGAGGACACGTGCCACATTTGGACCATTTCGTATCTTTTTTCTCTTAATGCGTTCATAACTCTTATTTAATGTGAGACTAAACTTGTTTACTGGTAGTCTAAATAGTAAATTAGCTCTTTGGCCAATTAGTATTCTGGTAGTATAGTAGGCTACTGCACCCGCTTTCGTACGCAATAAAACTGCATCACGGGCCCATACCATACCACGTATACAAAATAAACTTTGGCCCTATTCTCCAAAATGGTTCACCATATGATTGAGTCATCGTATTACCCCGTCAGCTTCCTTTACCCAGAATAAATAATAATATTCTACTTATTTACAGAATAATTTTGAAATCTTAGCTACATTCAAATCAGCGTGTATGATATATGAACAGGAGTGGAGCACATCGGCGAAAGTTTGCCGTTTGGCACCACTTTGAAGAGATGAACATTAATGACGTCTCCAAATGTAATGCTTTTACTGTGTAGAAACAATGACTTTTCACAACAATACCCCATAAATGCAAGCAATGTGGTTAGTCGTCCACTTTTTGTTAAATTGCAAGAAGATGACATTCAAAGTTGCAGTGAAAAGTGTCCGAGTGCTTCAAAAAACAGAGAAACCTAATGCCAGTAGCGGTAGCCAAAATTTTGCCATTTTTGGAAACTATATAGGCTAATACTACTCGATGCCACATTTATTGACTCACAGAACAGATGCCTCGATTAAGCATGAATCGTACTTATTTGTCACCGAACACATTCTTTCTCCGGATTTCACAATAAATTCATTCGTACTTTCAACAAAGCTGCTTGATGACAAGCAAACTGGATTAAACATAGCAGGCTGGATGCATGAGATTGTTTCAGATTTTGGTGTTCATATGTCCTGAATACGAGATATAAAACAAAATCCATGAAGCAAAATGCATCAAGAAATGTGAAAAACATGCAGTTGCAGTTTGGAGTAGAAAATGTTTATACATCAGAGATGGAACAGCCCACAGTTCAACAGACAGGAACAGCAATAGAACTTCTTGAAAGAAAGAAGCATGTGTATATTGAAAATCTGATCAATGACAGTATGAACAGCTCTGAAGAGAGTGGCGTCGACATTGGTGAATTGACCATGGAGATTCCAATTAAAATTTCAAAATATTTGAATGACAGAAATCTTGGCATATCAGCGGCCCAAGAAGAAATGTTTCGAATGGTGGCAACATCACAGTTGTCGTCCGAAAGTACCTCTGTGTCTCCGCTGTATCAGAAATAGAATTTAGCTCAACGTGGTTAAAGGTTGCTGTCGCTAGATGGCTATTACTTTTATTCATTTCAAAATTTTTGTAGGCTTCATGAAATTCGTTTTTGTGTGTGATTGCGTCATCAAAAATAAAAATTGCGCACTTTGTGGCGGATCCGCGTTTGCGATCTGGTGGTCATGGTCAGTCGAAGACCGAAAGACTACCATACTGCATTCGATTACATACATGCCCGTATTACTCGGTTTTGGCTTCTGTGCCCATATATTTGAGTTCCGCTCTCTTGTTGGACACGTAGTGGACATAACGATCGTTTCAATATTATGTTGTTGTTGTTGTTCTTGTTCTTTGACACGTTTTTAAAAAGTCGCTTTTCTCTTTGATTACTGGACTAATTGCTTTGAAATTTTCAGTGGTTGAAGATGAAATTTTTCTCCAGAAGGCTATTACTTTTATTTATTTCAAATATTTCTGTTAGCTCTGTAAGATTTGTTTTTGTTTGCTATGACGTCACTAAACGTTCTGCGGGCATCGGACGCCATTTTGTGTCTAACGGACCATCTTGCAATTTCAATTCACGCTGTCACAAGACAGGACCTTCTAAAGATAGGGAAGTTCTGGTACCGTAACACAGCGCGGTGACACTGAACTAACTCGTAGCTGACAAAAGCTTGAAAATCCATACAAATATGAGCAATAAAAAGATGAAACTTGGCAGGTGGGTAGAGTTGTGTTTCTTTTAACCATATTTGAAAGTTTCGCGTTTCTACATTTGAAGGAGGGGGAATAGGGGGTGTGCATTTCCGATACGTCGATAATATCTTTGTCAACCAATTTGCGGCCACCGTGTTTTCGTCTGTTTGATTGCTGTGATGTGGTGCTTTGTTTATAATTTAACGAGTTTTGTTCGAAATAACCGTGTTCTTGAAATATATGACGGTCAGAAATGCAATTAGAAGCCCAATGTTTTCACGCTGTCACAAGACCAACAATTGTCAACCAATTTGCGACCACCGTGTTTTGTCTGTTTGATTGCTGTATATAATCGTATGCGATTGTCTCGACGCAGCAGAAACGATGATCAAGGCTTGAAATTCGTGGTCGCACACTGGTCGTTCGGTCGCAAATACGTCTTTCGAGTGCCGTACTTTGGGGATTTGTATAGCTTTAACCCTTTGTCGTAGAAAGTTAATACGAGGTTTAGCGTGTAGAATAAATGCCGCCAATGCACCCACGGTGAAAAAATTAACGGGTTAGATATATTGGTTTTTGTTTTATAGCGGTTTGAATGAAATTGTCCGCAGACTGGCTACACCACCCTAGGCCTGGTGAGTTGTCCGTGTAGTCGAATTGTCCATCAGCCCTAAACGGCTATGACAGTCACTGTACCAAAAATTGTACCCCGATTCGGCTGGTGTTAAGTTGACGCATGTTATTTAGTAACGTTTTTATGTGAAATGTTTGACTGTGGTTCGGTACCTGATCCGATAATACGGTACATAATTGACTCATATCACGAGATATTTCAACTGATGTTTCAATTGTCACAGGACCTAAAATATCTATGACAGTCCCTGTACCGTCACGGTACCCCGATACAGGTACTGGTAAGTCACCGCCGGGATGTTAGTCATTGGTCAACGTATTAGGTTTTGGGGGGATTGTTCTGCGTGTCCATATATTTGAGCATTGCTCTCTTGTTTATAATTGCAGTCATGTCTTCTTTTGCATTACCAAAACCGTACGAAACAACTAAGTTTTGAATTTATCGACAATGTCCACAGATGTAGACATTAGTGTAGAATGAAGTTGTCGATCGCAATCAATAATTGAGTTGCCCTAAAGAGATTATCTAACACAAAATGTTCGAATGACTTTATTGAAGAACATACAAAAGAGATTCGCTCACATAAGTAGAATACACAAGTAATATTGAATCTTAAAGAAAGTCCGGTTGAGGTTGGTGTACTATGAATAATTAAATTGTAACCTAAATACAAAGATTTACGTATGGAAGTGAAGTAGGAAGCATTCATCGTTTATTAGCTCAAAAGCTACTGTGCATTGTGTGATGATTCATACGTGACGCAAACACCAACGCTTTTGCTTCCAAGTCATATTACGTTCTGATTACAATACACGAAACCATGAAAGTTTCAATTCTCGATACTATCAAATCATCTTCGTTTGTCTATATTTGGGTTATCAAGTTATTCATTTTCTCGTATCCTAAAAACCATAGGTTTATACATCAAAATTGAAATTCGAGAACGAACCTTTTGAGCGATGACGTAATAAAATTGTTTCCTGTTTATAATCCTTCGCCGAGTTTACTGTCTGGCGTATCTGTGTAATGACCGAATAACGTAAAGTGGATCAACATCATCTTGACAATGTTGCGCGTCTCAGCATCCGTCGCAGATATAATGCCAAAAACCACTTTATCTATTATATTTGATATTGTCAATTAGAGTGGCTATAAATTGCAGGTTTCACAAATGTAAATGCAACTTTAAAAAGCCCCCCTCAAACTATTCTGCGCTGATGGACTTCAATACCACGCAAGAGTAGCTTATGTAGCTAAGCTAACGTACAATGCACTAGTTTGGTATTTTGAACTAATCAAATTTTTACTCTGGCTAAAATGCACATAACCTCATTAAGATTTCAAAATCGTATGTCGATTGCATTAGTATAGACGTTGAAAATTAATATAATTACCCATTTGTCATGCATGAAACCTTTACATCACTGTGTTATAAATATTGTTCTTCAAATTCCACACATAAATGGGTACTCCTGGAGTATGCGCACTAAGATGCATAACCTGAACCCTAACCTGGTACACAACCGAGTTCGGGTTGTGCGCTATCTTGATGCGCATACTTCAGGAGGTCCCATAAATGTTTTGTTTGATAACGGCCATATCTCATCTTAAAATTTTTCGGTAACATCGTCCTGGCGTGTGCCAGAATTGCCAGAGTGAGTTGAATTGATATCGGTACAGTTCTAACGAACTGATGGCATCATGCTGGTTGGAAAAATATCCACTAAGTTGGTTAACGTACAACACGAATTTTGGAAAATGTTGAACAAGAGAATAGTAATTTTTAATATTGAACGTGATCAACTTTGGATGAGCAATACCATATATTTAGAACTGGGCAAGCCGGTCGTGTGTTATTATCGAAGATAAAAAATTGTGTTATTATCGGAAGATAAAAGTAAGTATAGGTTTATTCCGATTCCATAATCAGCATGAACTGACGATAAAATAATTGATAAAAACAAAATAAATTAAACTGATCACAAATCAGGAGAGCAAACAAAACCCTAAGTAAGTTTTAAAAGTACAGATTTTAGATTAAAATGTCTTGTCAAAAGTGGTACCTTTTCGCTCACCCAAAAGTATTGAATTAACTAAAACACGCACGCACACGTACATATGGTGTGGCGGGACTACTCAATACGAGGTAATATTAGTTATTTGTACGGGTGAAGTACGGTATGCATTCCGTTGATTATTATCAGTTACCTCGTGATCCATGGAAAACATCAAATTTTCATCCTATAAATAATATGTATTATTAAAATTTAGTAAATGTGCACATGAACGTAAATACTAGTCACCAAAATATTACCATGATAACGGACATAGACAGATAGATAATGAAATATAATCGGAAGTGGGTCAAGACTTCAAGATTGAACGCCCCCTAAGAAGAGTCCCTAGTAAGACAAGACACAGGCAGCAAACAAATCAGACATAAATAAAACTGCAAATAAAATGATCAATAAGAATGACAATTTCATGATCATATAAATAAAATAATACAATAAAGCTGACAAGGATGGTCATATATCTTTACTCTCAGGAAGGAAAAACCTTCACAATCTGGTTCAAGAACTTAATGGGATATAGAATGATATTTTCATGAGATAGTCACAAAGTCCTCTAATCACTGTTTGCTACTCACTCATAATCTGGGGCAATACTATGTGGGGTTGGAATTATCAATTCCTCATTAGAGATTGCGGACAGCTTCTTAATACTAAATTGGCCCATCATCATCCGTTGTTTCAACTATGCTATAGGGAAAGTCACGTTTTGCTTTTTTGGAGCATTTCCATGAAACATAAATAATGAAAATTAAAATAAACAAGGCAAGAATACAGCAAACAGCAATAAGGACTATTTTATTACAACTAAATGGCTCTTGGTGCTTTCCACAAATTTTCCCATAATCATCGGGAATCAATTGTTTAGCTATGGTGACAAAATCATCAAATGGACAAGAAATATTACAATTAAAAAACTTTAGCGCCTTTGTGCCATTTCTTTTTTTATAAAAGATTTCCACAAAATATTTATCAGAGTCTTTGTAAAGTTCAATCATGATACAACTGGCATATTCAGGCTGTATCCAATCATAGTTGCCCAGGGTAACAAGAAGTGCAGTTAAGGTTGTGTCATGAGCAGAGTAAGCAATGGTGGAATATTTTGAAATATTATTGATATGCTGTGTCATGTTCTGTATCATTTCCTTCAAAAGAACACCACCTTGCATTTGAGAGATAACACTTCTGTATTTATAGTCTACATCGCTAAACATGACGCCCATGTCTAAAGAATTCAGAAATTTGAGTTTTTGGAGATCCTCATTTTTCACCCAATGTGGAAGAGAAAAATTGTTCGACTTAAGGCAAAATAAATTATCTTCTACTTCCCATATGTTTGAGAAGTTATATCGATATGTACTGCCCGTATTTTTTTGAATATAGCCATAAAAGCTTGAGTAGTTCTTTTCATGTGCTATAAACCATGGTGAATTATGGATATCATGCATTACTTTCTCATATTTTGGACAACCTCTGATCGGATATCTCAAGAGATTATCACTTTCCAGTGGTACAACATGTATTGGGACAGGATACCACTCAGTATTGGACCCATTCCATAGCTCGTCACTTGTTACAGGTGGATACAGTCCAGCCATGTTACTTTGAGCACTCATAATTGTTCTGTCCTTGTCAGTACTTCTTACATAAATTTCTTGTGGCCTGTAGGCCTTGCTCAAAATTATATCATATCGTGACCGAAGAAATTTCCCAAGTTCGTATTGTTGCTTTATTCCAATATTCGTTAACTCTCCTGGCCCATTTTTCCATATACTTCCATTTTTGTACGGATCGTTGGGGTAAGACTTTATATAGGACCGATCACCGTGTCGCCACACAATATTCACAAATACAAGTTCCTTAACACCTTTAACAGCATGCATCCATATAATAATAAAAATAATAGTACTGCAGCAGCATATTTTGGACATCGTTTTCACCAGTGTAAATTAAATATTTTATAAGCTAAAAATATTTAAAGTTAATTATATCGGTATATTCAACCACAAGACCATTCAATTAAGGTCTGCAATATTTCCACAGTAATGTTTTCAATTTAATTTGCACAAAATAACAAAAGGCGACTTTTGGGGTCTAGTATAGTTTAGTACCACAAGTACTTCCAGTGGGCGCAGGCGCAGCATAACGAATTTTGCATTTGGTATTCCTAATCCCCACCTGACTATGCCATCCAAAAATTACGTCACTACGACGTCACCATCACGTCATAGGGCTTGCCAAAGTCTAATTACGATCGCCCGAAATGGCATCTGCGCCGCCGATAACGAACTCGCTAACGCTGACGATCTCTCTCCTATTGTGATCATTGTGACAAGAAACGAGGAAAATAGCTGGTCTATTTCAGGTGATCGTATGCTCGTTTTGGACAACCATCCACATACTTTGGTGGGCCTTATTACGCCACTGTGACGTCGAAATGACGTGATTTTTCGGTGACGTAGTCAGGTGAAGGTTAGGATTGACATATGCAAAAATTGTTGAGCCAGGTCAAGTAGAAGTGCATGTGGTACTAAACAATACCAGACCCGACTTTTGTTGATATCAAGTACGTACATACTTGAGTTTAGTACCACATGCACTTCTAGTTGGCCCGGCAACAATTTTTGCATATGTCATTCCTAAATCCCACCTGACTATGCCACCAAAAAATTACGTCACTACGATGCCACAGTGGCTTAATAAATACCTCCAAAGTGTACGGGCGGTCGTCTAAAACGCGCAGACGATAACCCGAAATCGGTATCTTCGGCGCAGATGCCATTTCGGACGATGGTAGCTGTACTTGGCAAGCTCTATGACAGGCCTGCCCAACCTTTTTCGTCTCGCGGGCCACTTTCAAGTGACGAAATTTGTTACGAGCCGCAACTTTGTTTTGTAGACAAATATCTTTGTCGTAGATCATTATGTACGTCTTGTAATAAGTTGCGTAGAATATAAAATAACAAAAAATAAATAAAATTTTACGCCCTCTATTGGATTCTTGGGTATTTTTGATTTTTGGATGGGCGATTTCTCGAAAACATCCAATAAATACATCAGGACAATTTATATTACTCTGGACTAAGTTTATATAGCTAAGTATAGCAACAAAAACAAAAATAGGTTTTGATTACACCTACCAGTACAGAGCAACAGTGGCCTTTTATTTCGCGAGGAAAATACGTTCGTTATTTTTTTACCTGCGCGAATTGAAATATGGGTCGCGTGGTGGTTCTCAAGCGCGAAGAAAGGCTTTAATATTTAACTCTGAATGCTTAATTGCAGAAAATATATTATGTTGGGTATTATGTATGGCCTTGTCAAAATCTGCTGCTACTCTGCTGTAATATTATAATCAAATCTATAGTTGTTTATCTTCTCCTCTAATGTGTTATATGTAGTGCTGCCTTTATTTTCGAGTTTTCGAGAAATCACCCCCTCAAAAAAACATTGATTTTTTCAATATTTAGTAATTCTGGGATATATGTAATATTTTTCACAACTCATGACGGAATGTGATAAATGCGCAATTACAGGTATTTCAAAGTAAATACTTGAACGACGGGTGAATTCATTGAAATTACATCATCTCTAATAAGTAAATGATGAGTAAAAAAATAATTGTTAGGTAAATTTAGTAGAAATAAAAGCCCCTTTAAAAATATGTTACATTTATATTTCTTAAAATTAAAAAATATACTCTTTGTTTGGTATTATATATGGCAGAGTCAAAGCGCGCTGCTAGTCTTCTGCTAAAACGAAATCAAATCTATAAGGTATCTGCTTCTCTTCGAAAGTGTCGTAGTGCTGCCTTTATTGGCGGTTTTTGAGAAATCTTTGCTCCAGAAACAATAATTTTCAAAATTTTTGAAATAAACTCACTACGGAGCGTAAAATTTTTTTTGTAATTTTATACTTTCTGCAACTTATCCAAGTTTATCGATGTATGAAACCCCTTTAAAATATGTAACATCCACATTGTTTATAAAATTGAGAATACACGCTATGTTCGGTATTATATATGGCCATGTCAAAACGTTTTTTGAGAGGTTTTCGGGAAATAACGTCTTAAATGACGGAAATTTAGTCATTTTTAAACAACTCCTAAAAAGCCTGTAATTCTGTGATGAATTGTTATAGTCGTTTTAGCTTGTGTACTATATATTAACAAGATGAGTAATGTAGGTAACGATTGTTTAACTCCATTTGCTATTGTATAACTAATCAAAATATACACTTTCTTCCTAAAATAATTTGGAACATTTATTTTTACGCGTGGGTATTTTTTGCGATTCTGTCAGAGCCATTTTCTTGTTGCTACCATCCAGTATGGTTAAGATAGTTATGCGAGTTATAATACCACTGTGAAGCTAGCAGCACTTTCAGCCAGAATACTTTAACACATTGAATATAGGTTCCACGCGCATATAGTGTTCACTTATAGTTACATATGAAAATTGAAAATGCTGATCAAAATATAATTTTGGCACGAAAATACATGAAAAATCTTTAAACTGAATGAATACATTGAATTTAACAAGAAAATAGTGTTTAAAAAAAGACTAACTAAGCGAAAAATGAATTTTTAAGTATTCGCAAATACGAAGTTTCGAAAAATTATCCTTTTCGGAACCTCGATTCCTCGAAAACCGCCAATAAAGGCAGCACCACGACACATTTGAAGAAAAGCAGATACCCTATGTTTTGGCTTGACCATATATATTACCAAACATATCGTGTAATCTAAATTTTACAAACGGCATGGACGTAACAAATTTAAAATTGATTTTGTATTTCAATTAAATTTGCTAGATAATTGATCAGATATCATTTCCTCTTTGTCACACATTAATACTGTACATCTATTAAACTTGGAATACGTTGCGGGAAGTACAAAACAGCAAAAAAACATTTGCGACTTCTAGTGGACTCTGTCCTGGATTACAAAAAATTATCGTTTTTAGAATGGCGATTTTTCGAAAACCGCCAATAAAGGCAACACTACGAAATATTCGGATAAAAGCACATACATTATAGATTCGATTTTATTATGTCACAACAGTAGCAGCACGTTTTGACTTGGCCATATATAATACCAAACATAGCGTATATTCCTCGATTTTTAAAACAACCGTACGTAACATATTAAAAAGGGTTTGTATTTCAACTAAAGTTGCAGGATAATTGATCAAATATCTTTTTCTCTTTGTCGCACATCAATTCTGTACGTCTATTAAACTTAGAATAAGTTTCAGAAAGTATAAAGTAATAATAAAAAAAATTTTGCGCACCCTCGTGAATTAGTTTGAGAATTTCGAAAATTATCGTTTTTGGAGTGTTGATTTCTCAAAATCCGCCAATAAAGGCAGCATCACGACACATTCAGGGAAAAGCACATGCCTTATAGATTCAATTTTATTATATCAAAACGGTAGCAGCACGTTTTGACTTTGCCATATATAATACCAAACATAGCGTATATTCTTCAATTTTATGAACAAGGCGGACCAAACCAAAAAAACATTTTACGCCCTCTCGTGGATTCTTTTCAAAATTTCGAAAAATTATCGATTTTGGAAGGGCAATTTCTCGGAAACCGCCAATAAAGGCAGCACTACGACATATTCGGAGAAAAGTAGATACCCTATAGATTTGATTTCACTATACCAAAACAGTAGCAGCATGTTTTGACTTGGCCATATATAATACCAAACATAGCGTGTATTCTCAGTTTTATAAACAATGTCGACGTAACAAATTTAAGATGGATTTGTATTTCAACTAAAGCTGCTAGATAACGGATCAAATATATTTTTCTCTCACAAATGAATACTCTACGTCTATTAAACTAAGAATTAATTGGGAAAGTTTAAAATATTAAAAAAAAAAATTTTACGCTTTCTAGTGGGTTCTTTTCTGAATTTCGAAAAATAATCGTTTTTGAAAGGGCGATTTCTCGAAAACCGCCAATAAAGGCAGCACTACGACACACTTTTTGACTTGGCCATTTATAATACCAAACATAGCGTATATCTTAATTATTTGTAGGCGTAGATGTTCACATATTTTAAAAAGATTTGGTATTTCAAATAAATTCACCTAATAACGTAATATTTCGTTTTATTACTTTTTCAAACACACACAAACTTGGAATAAGTTGCAAATTGTATAAAACAATGAAAAAATGTCTTACGCCCTATATAATATTATTTTAATTTCCCAAACATGCCGTTTTTGGAGTGACGATTTCTTGAAACCCGCCAATAAAGGCAGCATTACGACACTTTAGGCGAATAGCAGATACATTGAAGATTCGATTTGACTGAACCAGAACAGTAGCAGCTCGTTTTGTTTTGACCATATAATAATATAATATAATACCAAACATAGCGTGTATTCAAAATTTCAAAAAACAATGCAGACATAACATATTTAAAAAGAGTTTTATATTTAAACTAAATTTACTAGATAATTTATCAAACTTCCTTTGTCTTACTAACACATCAATACTGTACGTTCATTAAAGTTGGAATAAGTTGCGAAAAGTATAAAATATCGAAATATCATTTTACGTCCTCTTGTGGATTATTTTTAAAATTTTGAAAATTATCGTTTTTGGAGTGGCGATTTCTCGAAAACTGCCAATAAAGGCAGAACCACGACACATTTGGAGAAAATCATATATCTTACATATTCGACTTTACTATACCAGAACAGTAACAGCACGTTTTGACTTGGTCATATATATTACCAAACATATCGTGTTTTTAAAATTTTACATCAAAATGGACGTAACGAATTTTAAAAGTTTGTTTTTCAACTTAATTTGCTGGATAATTGATCAAATATATTTTTTGCCTTGTCCAGTATTGATGTGTGACTGAGAAAAAATTATATTCGAACAAGTATTCAGTAAATTCGTTTAAAATACGACAGCTTTATGAATTTTTAACGTTGGCATTATTCAAAACTTGAAGAATATACTCTATGTTTGATGTTATATAGGACCAAATCAAATCGTGCTGCTACTGTTCTGGTTTAGTGGAATCGAATCTTTAATGTATCTTCGATTATCCGAAAGTGTCGTAATGCTGCCTTTATTGGCGGTTTTCAAGAAATCGTCACTCTAAAAGCGTATGTTTGGGAAATTAAAAAAAAGTATAGTGCGTAAGACATTTTTTTATTGTTTTTTACAATTTGCAATTTATTTTAATTATAATTAACACACAGTATCGGTGTTTGAAAAAGTAAGAAAATGGAATAGGTGAATTTATTTGAAATACCGAACCTTTTTAGAATATTTGAACATCTACGCTATTTAAATAATCGGGAATATACGCTATGTTTGGCATTATAAATGGCCAACTCAAAACGTGCTGCTACTGTTCTGGTATAGTGAAATCGAATCTACAAGGCATCTGCTTTTCTCCGAATGTGTCGTAGTGCTGCCTTTATTGGCGGTTTTCGAGAAATCGCTATTTCAAACACGATTGATTTTTTAAAAGTAAAAAAAATCCACCAGAGGGCTTAAATGAGTTTTGGTATTTTATTCTTTCCGCCACCCATTCCAAGTTTAGACGTACAGTAATAATGCGCGACAAAAAAAAAAAGATATTTAATTAATTAACTCAAACCCTTTTCAAATTGTTACTTTTACGTTGTTTATAAAATTGAAGAATATAAGTTATGTTTGGTGTTATATTTGGCCAAGTCAAAACGTGCTGCTACTGTTCTGACATAATGAAATCAAATCTATAAGGTATCTGCTTTTCTCCAAATGTGTCGTAGTGCTGCCTTTATTGGCGGTTTTTGAGAAATCGCCCTTTCAAAAACGATAATTTTGTGAAATTTATTAAAGAATCCACAAGAGGGTGTAATTTTTTTTTTGGTATTTTAGACTTTCCTCAACTTATTCTAAGTTTAATGAAGTACATTATTGTTGTGTGACAAAGAGAAAAATATCTTCTTTGATGAACTATCCAGTAAATTTAGTTGAAATACAAAATCAGTTTTAAATTTGTTGTATATATATTGTGCATAAAATTGAAAATTATACGCTATGTTTGGAATCATGTATGGCCAAGTTAAAACGTGCTGCTACTGTTCCGACATGTTAAAATCGAATCTATAGGGTATCTGCTTTTCTCCGAATGTGTCGTAGTGCTGCCTTTATTGGCGGTTTTTGAGAAATCGCTATTTCAAAAACAATAATTTTTTGAAAATTTGAAAATAAACAACAAGAGGGCGTAAAATGATTTTTTGTTATTTCTTACTTTCCGCAACTCATTCCAAGTTTGATGGACGTACAGTATATATGTATGTCCAAGAGAAAAAGATGTTTGATAAATTATCTAGTAAATTTAGTTGAAATACCAAACCGTTTTTAAATATGTTAAGTCTGCATTGTTTATAAAATTTTCAATACACGCTATGTTTGGTATTATATATGGCCAAGTCAAAACGTGCTGCTACTGTTCTGACATAATGAAATCAAATCTATAAGGTATCTGCTTTACTCCGAATGTGTCGTAGTGCTGCTTTTATTGGCGGTTTTTGAGAAATCGCCCTTTCAAAAACGATAACTTTGTGAAATATATCAAAGAATCGACAAGAGAGCGTAATTTTTTTTTGGTATTTTAGACTTTCCTCAACTTATTCTAAGTTTAATGAAGTGCATTCTTGTTGTGTGACAAAGAGAAAAGAACTATCCAGTGAATTTAGTTGAAATACAAAATCAGTTTTATATTTGTTGTATATACATTGTTTTAAAAATTGAAGAATATACGCTATGTTTAGTATTATATATGGCCAAGTCAAAACGTGCTGAGACTGTTCTGACATATTGAAATCGAATCTTTGAGGTTTCTACTTTTCACCAATGGTGTTGCAATGCTGCCTTTATTGGAGGTTTTCATGAAACGACCATGTTACACGATGAAAATTCAGTCATTTTTAAACATCTCTCAAAGAATTATAAAAAAAATTTAATGCACTGTAACAGTCGCTTTAGCGTGTGTAGTTAATGATTGTTTTGCTTTATTTGCTATTGTGAAACTAATCAAAATATACACTTTCTTTTAAAAATCATTGGGAACATTTAATTTTACGCGTGGGTATTTTCTGCGATTCTGTCAGTCACAATTTCGTGTTTTGCTGCTAGCTTCACAGAGGTAGTTATAATTGTATGAGTTACGGAGTTATGGTATGCCGATAGTTACGGCGTATACCGGTACCTAATGAGACCCGATATTGGTACTGCTGTCTGCTACACCTTGATATTTATGTTTACAAACTAACTTACATTTTCAAATTATTACAGTATTATGCTTATCTCACATTTTGCAATTTTATTTTCAGTCACAGCTCACTATCTAAACGTAATCACATTACTACAACATGTCAATCGGAATCCAAGCATCTACGAATAAATTTGCATTTCTTCATGTTCAAGATTCTAGTGATGAAGAAAATGATCAATGCCTCGACCACAGTGCTAAAAACAACCAGAAGAAATGCAAGGTCAACTCTGCAGGTTCGAATGTTAATGCAAACAAGAAAAAAAACAGACGTCGGAAAAAGAAACTGGTTTGTTTTTTAATCTTTTACACTCTGCAGCTGTGCAAAATTTGGGAATTGTCAAATTATCGTTGGCTGGTTATTGGGGCCATTCCAAGCAAAAGTTGAATTCCATCAATTTTTTTAAAAGTGCAGTGAAAGTAATTTTTTGTATTTTTTATATCAGAGGACATTGGAATTTTATTAAACTGCTTTCCTTTTACCAAAAAAGTTAAAATTTTACCCAGGTTTTTGATGGTTCATAAAAAATAGCCTAAAATGTAGAAATTTTGGTATAATTGACATATATTGTAATGATTCGTGACACAAAGTGTTTGATTGTGTGATACAGTTATTTCATATGAAATAGACGCACTTGAATTTAATAGTTTAAAAGTTTGTCTTTGATTGATTGTCTGAGTTACAAACCATTATGATAAGCAGCATATATGTTTCAATAATCAATGTGTAGAAATTTATTTTATGTATCCTGCGGAGAGTTAATTGTTATTTTTCAAATATAGGGAAGTGTGTCTGATTATTTATTTTATGTGAAAATTTGTTGTATGCTAATTATTTTTTCATTCTTTGCATTTTAGACCTCATCTTCTGACACTGATGGAAATCCTGGAAATGCAGGTGCTATCATGTTTTATTGATAAATTTGATTTTTGAAATAACAAATGAAAGAGTTCAATTGCTACAATACAAGTGGAACCAATTTTATGATGTTTCATTTGTAATTGGGGTCTCCAAATAGTTTATTGAATAATTATAACTTTTTTAATGGATTTATTCAGTTAAAGTAAACCCAAGTGGACGTGTCATGCAGGAATGGATTCAACATGATGAAAACTTGGTGGATGATCTTTATAATGAAGATTTGAAAAGAGCTATAGAACTGAGCAGAATTGAGCATGAGAAGTTTGAAAACCTTCAAAAACAGATGCAGCATGAAGTAATGAACATTCCGGTAAAATATTTATTTCACAAATTCGATAGGAAAGACTCTGACTAATGAATCCTATGAATGAGCCCAACTCGAAATTGATGTCATCAAGGTCAGACAATTAAACCAGTCTATGAAAATGCAAAGTCCATTACTTTCTCATTTGGTGGTCAGTGAATCCACCCTGAATGAAAAGCGGGACATTTATTAAGCAGATGAGTTCTGCTGCATCTTTGCTATTTATAGCCATTCACCAGGGTTTTTAATGTATGGAAATTGATATTTCAGTACCAGAAACACTACAGTTAATTGAACCAAAGCTCACAATCGATCTGATCTTGGAGACAATGAGCCGTGCATTGAAAATATTATGCAACGGAAATTTCAGTATCAATCACTGTGAATCGATAATTTCTAATATTTTCTGCTACCATAATCCTGTATACTATTACTTATTGCATGTTTCTTGTCTATTTCATACATACGAGAAAGAATAGCAGAGTGCTACCATTAAGAACAATCACCGCCTTACACTATCTATCATTTATTTTTGCACACATTTGTTCTTTCTTCAACCAGAACGACTTCAACAACAGTTACCAGTACGACAATGAAGTGATGACCTCTAGTTCATCAGTGGGTAAAAAGGAGAAAAAGAAAAAAGCTGTCAAGACGATATCTTTAGAGGTATTTTTCATAATTATTCCAAAGTTATTAATATATGAGTCAAAGTGACATAATAACCCAAAATTAAAAAATCTATTGGAACTATTAGTCAGAAACTCAATAATGGTAATGACTGCTTGTGCTAAAAGCTATTTTCAACATTTATAGGAGTTTAGGCAACATGTGGAAGATACTTTGCCCCTGCAAAAAGATGTGACTGAAGAAAAAAGAGTTGCTCAGGTTACTGAAGGTACGTTGACGACTGAGGTGTTTCATTTGTACCACCACTTCATAAGATTCCAATGTCATGCTTGAATTCAATCCATAAACTTATCATTCACAGAAAATGCGCCAAACTTTTTTGATGAGGTTGACAAGCAAGCAAATAATATCAAACGAATAGAAGAAGCGAGGGGAAGATTTCAACAACTACACGATAAAAAAGTGTGTTTTTTATGTTGTCTCATTTATGTTAATTAGGACAGTTTAAACGTAGCAAATGAAAGTCGAAAAGTGCGATGTGTTTAGTGTTATATTTGTGATGTCTGCTTAGTTCTGGCATTTATTCAAAACTTGGAGAAAAAGATTTTGTCCATTCTCTTCTACATCCCAGTTTATCGCTTTTGTTAGTGCCAAATTTTTCTGTTCCAAATATTTCATCAAGTATTTACACTGCAGAAAACGAAAGAAAAACAAAGTGGTGTAACAAATAAACGTGATCAAAGACTGCAAGCATCAGAAGAAAAAGATGAAATAATTAAAAAGCTGCAAAGCAAAGTTACAGAATTAGATGAACAGTTCAAGCATGTGAAGAAACGAAACAAGCAGCTCTTAATAATGCTGCAACAAGGAGAAAGTAATAAACAATTGTTTAATTCTTTACGCTAATATAAGTGATATATTTCCTAATCTATTTTAAATGGGATTTCAGTATTCTCGATGTGTAAATGTTCATTGATAATAATCGGATAGATACGTTGTAACTGATAATGACTGAAACACTGTACATTTGAAATAGTATCCCTCAGATACATAACAATAACAACAAAATATATTGCTTATGATATTGAAGTTCTGAGTACTTGTTCGAATATATTCTTGTTTGAATTTTCAAGTGAAGGACAAGTGCGAACTTTTGCTTGAGATTGAACGATTGGGTGTCCTTCGTGATGAACTGACAGAGGAGGTTTCTCATCTTAATGAAAGTTTAGAACAAGAGCGATCCCGGTCCACAAAGCTAAAAGATGAACTCACAAAGCTACAGGTCATTTCTTTAAATTTCATATTGTCAAGGAGTGTATGTTGGCCAAGTCTAATTTAAATTTCAGACAAAAAATAGTATTTGCTCATTGCATTTACAAAATGGGCTGTTCAAGTCGTATGCTGCAAGTGCATAACAGCAGGGAAAAGACATGGAACGAGCTTATGTTTGGTTCTATTATTTTTGCACACACAGGCAGTTGCAGCAATACAGTCACACCTATACACTTTAGCACCCACAGACATTGAACCAAAGGACCCAACATTTGCACTCATGATTTATACTCAAGGTCCAAGGACACCAGTCTTTGAAGTAAACGAGGTTATCACATCCACATGGGTGCAATATGCGGGTGCTAAAGTCTGTGAATGCAAATGTGCTGTCACCTTTATGTTCATGTTCAAGGATAATTGCAAGTTCAGTTTATTTTGTTCTTCCAAATGAATACATTGTTCTATATAAGAGAAACAGTACGGTAATGCCACACTCATACAGAGCTTTGAGTATATTCACAAGGCGTTTTACAGAGTTAGTGTTGGCCAATATGCTCAAAGTACATATTTTTTGCAGACCAAAAAATCGAATGATGACCATCATATCAAATGATTTTCTATTTCACCAATATCAATTTTGCTGCTAATGCAGAGGATTCAGGGAAAAGCAGTGTGGCATCTAATGTTACAAAAGACTATGAATCTTCATTCACTCCACTTTACATCTTCATAACCAGATTCAATTGTCTGATTTTAACATAAATACAAATTCATGAATTTTCTGCCTGAAATTGAATCGGTTATAAGGGTAAGCAGTACGCATTAGTCAAAGGACAGGCAAGTGAGGAAAAATTGAAGGGGTATGTATTCTGCGCCTCTTGTTGAAGTTTAGGCTAGTGATGTTTAACTGCATATTTTTCTGCGGATGAAGTAGGTTTGGGGTTTTCCTCCGGAATCTATCATATTTATAACCATAACCCCTCTGGTCTATGACAAATAATGAATCGTTAAGCACGAGTATCTGGGCTTTTAAAGCTGCGTTCAGCCCCTCAACTAGCTTTTGCTGGGTAGCCTTCCCCAGCTCTGCCATGCAGGATGGGTAATACATACCATTCAATTCAACTGTCGAACTCCGTGATTTCCCCATACACCCACCCCAGTAGGCGGTGCAAAAAATAAAATTTCAAACAATGGAGGAAGCCGTAACAGGCGAGCGATTACACGGACCACTCTCTGGTGGTGAGACTAAGGAGTCTAGCAATCCTCTCGCACATCACTACAATTCTCCCTACACGATTTGTACCCGGTGCGGTAGCAAGTGCATTCCTAACTCTTAAGCAGAATTTTCTACCAGGATCAATATGACTGTCTGAAACTGGACCAAGTTGTATTTTAAGTACAACTATGTAAAAATATGTCTGTGCTCTGTGAATTCCAACTATTCATAATTGGTTCGCAGTCAAGGCAGGCTGCATGGTCTGCAGATAAGGGTTGAACCTGGTCTACTTACGGTAGCGTACGGACTTATAACAGCATTTTCACAAGATAGCCCTCTGTGAATTCCAACTATTCATAATTGGTTCGCAGTCAAGGCAGGCTGCATGGTCTGCAGGTAAGGGTTGAACCTGGTCTACTTACGGTAGCGTACGGACTTATAACAGCATTTTCACAAGATAGCCATCGCAAACATATCAAGAATTAACCAAATAAAATACATATTGCCCAAGAAAAACAGAGATGGAACAACAATTGCAATGCTTTTAGCTTTACCAGTGCTAAAAAGGCCACCAGTCACATAAAATTTTAAAAATATTCAAAGATAGCTCAATATTCAGGAAGTCCTGTCTTTCCAGCAGTTAGTCTTTTCATTTAGATGGCTCTAGATTTTACAATGAATTCTACTGTGCTCAATATGTGTCCCATACCAAATCAGCAACATTTTACAACTAGGTGTTAAAATATAATTGCACTAAATTTTTTAAAATATACAAATGAAGTGAATATATTTTTATTGTGCGCCATCAGGACCCGAAGAAGCTGGAAATAAAATGCATTATTATATGAATTATCTGACAGGGGAGAACAGTTCTTTGAGGATTTACTTTATATGTTAAGCAATTTGTACCAGGAATTCAATCCATATTTACAGGTAATGCAGACCGTGTGAATGGGGATGAACAGTCATGTTTCCAATTCCAAAAGTAATAAACTAAACCTATGATATATTTGTCTTATATTTCGATAATTGGGCCGAGGTGCTACTCTTTAAGACTTGTAGTAATTCTGGGTCAACATGGCGCCAATATTTAACCTTTTTTGAATTAAAATGCTTGAGAGATAAAATTCGAAATCAACAAACATGAATCATGTTTTGTTGCCTTCAATATGGTTTTCTATACAAGAACAACATGAATGGACTAAAAAAACACTCACATTATCATGCAAAGCATAATGAAGACATTCCAGATCGCAATAACAATTCGGAAATATCGGAGATTCAATAAAAATTCTCTGATTTTATCCCCTGAAATCATCGAAAAACAGTGCATAAAATTTCTGCAATTTATGAAATCAATGATTCAAAAAGTCAGCAATTCTATCTTCCACTATCAAATCATCTAAATACTCACTCGTTGATGGTTCAGCAGATTCTGATCCAAAAACATGTTCATCTTGACTTTTCTTCCTAAAAAAAATGAATAGGTCAAATCTTTCAACTTGATTATAACTTTAGGACTTATACATAATAAAAAAAACTGAGGATTCATTTTTGCCCATAAAAAAACTGATTAGGATCAGGGTGAACAGTAGATTTATGTTATACTTGATCGAAAACAGAATACGGTAAGAAAGAAACTAGGTATTACTAAAGGAATGTATTCATTTCCACTAAAAATGACAAATTCAAACAAGATCAGCTATTCAACAAGTGCCAATCAGGGCTGCAGTATCTGTGGCTGTAAAGTTCCAATAATCTACTCACAGTCGAAAATTCAAAACAGCACCAGCATTTGCCATCAAAGTTCTGAAAAAGTATATGTTTCTATTCAGATATTGATATTTCTCATAAGAAAAGTTTCACGGTCAAAAGAAGATCGAATTGATAATCACATGAAATATTCCAATATCTTGGTATATGAAACAATGAAATATCAAAATTTAAATTTTTTTTCTCAAACATATTTGACATCGTAATCAAAATTCAAGCCAAATAGGGTTCAAAATTCTTATCTGCAAAGGCGATTAAAAATTATTCAAGAAACCTCAAATATGTACGCAATGATAGGTATTCCATTGAAAGTAATGAAATAAAGTGGAAACTTTTGAGGGTAAATATATCAGAAATAGTGGTACAGTAATGTTATAGTTATATCATGGCTAAGGAATATAACTATTCTAATGGATTAAAAGTAAAGCAACTTACCCAAACAAAAGAATATCAGATATCATTTTTGTTGGATAAAATAATAGCCTATCATAGAGAGAATGTAATTCTTTGAAATTAGAATTCATAAAAAAACAATAGATTAAAAATAAAACAGAAGGAATAAATGTGACAAAGTACTGAAGTTAGATCTCTTAGCTACGACATTTTTCATTTAATTATTGGCTGCAGATGTGGATACAAATATAGGAGTTGAAACATGTGGAAAGTTTTTGTACCTACATAGTAATATGCATGGCTGTACATCTCAAATAAAAACAAAGAGTCATATATTGCTTAATATTAATACAGTTATAAGTAACCTTGTTCAAATGATGCAAGTCTTTGTCTACTAAAAATTGCTAAGACTCTTTTTCATTGTGCATAACAATATGGATTTTCAATTTGTTCATCAATCAAGGAATTCTATGATGCAAGCTAATTTGTCATAGTCTCATAGATATATTGTTTTGTTCACCATGCTTAAAACTTCAAACTTAATAGTAAAACAGTGAAAATTGGAAGCATTATCGACAATATTGTTGAGAAGGTGGTCGAGTAGGTATTTCACCAACTGTAAACCTGTCAGCCTCAAATTTCTTCCTTTCATCGTCTGTTAGAGAGTCTTCATTTGTATAAACTTTGTCTACCACTGTGGCATTATTAGATACACTTGGAGTGGATGCTCCAAAAACGGAAATATTTTGTGAAATTTTGGTGGAGTTTGAAGCAGGAGTTCTAGGTGCTGTAATTGCGCTTACGGGAGTACCAAAGCTACTTAAATCAGATAAATTCTGGAACTGGTCATTAGATTTAAAACTAATTGATGTTTGTGGAGATACCACAGTTTCAGAAAGTTGTTCAGAAGTATTTTCAGAAGAAAAATTAAATTTAGGTCCATAAAGAGAAGAAATCATAAGATCCTGAGAAGGATTACTGTCTGCATCGTTCATTTGTGATACAAGACTGCTTTTGGTGGCATCAGACATATCAAACAATTCATCTTTTACTCTGCAGTATTTGGATTCAATTTCATTCAAAATGTTCAGGTACTCCGCAGAATGTAAAACAGCTAAAACTCTCATTTCTTCTGGAGAAATATCTGGTAACCCTTCGATGCAACCAGACTCTTTTGTATAAGAATAGCAAGAAAATGGCCACATTTTAGATTCTGCCCATACTTTTACATCTGACTGAATTGTAGAAAACATGAGATCAGTGTTATTGTCAGGTTTTTCTTCCTGCTCCAATGCAGAAAATCGATTATTTCTTGACCAATGATATTTATCTTGTTTGTATCCCTGGGTGCTTGTATTGACAGGACTACTATAGCGATTATCAGAAAAGTTATCATCTGACCGGGTATCTTGCTTGTATCCTTGATTGCTTGTACTGACAGGACTACTATAACGATTATCATAAAAGTTATTACTTGATCTGTTATATGTTTGCGATCTGGAATACTGATTATGGTTATTGCTCCTTCCTTGCCATGATCCACCATAATCATCCTCTTCCCATCTTTCTTGGCGTCGATTCGACACATTGTCTCTTCGATGTTCGTTATAGCATCTATCACCATATCTGCAATTGCCTTTCAAATAATACTTGCACACAGGCATATTAATACAAATATCTATAAGGCAAAGATAAACCATAGTTATTAGAATTCATAACATTGTCCAAACAAGATAATAATTGAACAAGTAACCATAAAAATTAATTTTCAATAATATATGAGAGCTGTGGCTGAGCATGCCCAGTATGATTTTTACCATTTAAAGTGTTATAATTTTACACTTGCAAATATGAATATTGCATAACAGCCAATGAAACAGAGCAGTTGTGTGATCATACTTCATATTCGAATCATACCACAAAATTATGAATTTTTCGACAGTTAGGATTAGGATGTGGTCAATCTAAACGTACTTGGAGATAATCCTTAAAAAATGTATTGGATTCAGTGGTGAAATACTTGGTCACCTATTCAATAGATGGAACAGACTCTCTGTCAAGCTCAGATCTTTCATCTAGTATAATAATAATCCTTCTAGGATGAGTATCAAGATAAGCAATAATGTACCGATATGAAATTTTTCTTCTAACAATTACAGAGTCAACTTGAACAGTCCCTGTTCTTCCACTTGATCCTTTGATATGAAATTTCATTCTCATAGCATCTCTGCCTTGTGCATCTATGTAAGCAAGATGAGAAACATGCCTCCTCCTACCTCTACTGTTCATCTCACCGAAGCCTTCAATGGGTGACCCAAGTGCAACAACTAGTTCCTGGTTACGTCGACACTTTTCAAGAGCATCTCCAAACACCTGGGTAGGCCCTGCTTTAGATAACAGCTCTTTATAAAGTATGTAAAAAACAAACCCCATACATGTTAATCCAACAATGATAACTAAGGCATAACTAGTGTCCTTAGCAGCTTGTTTTGCCTTCTTTGATTTTGATGCAGAAGCAATTTCAGAATCTCCTCTTTTTCGCAATTCAATTTGTTGTACACAAGCTGACATAGATATTTTTCTCGTATAACATGTTGATGATAATGGTTCCATGAAAAATGATTTTGTGAGAAAACAGGTTGAACAGAAACTGATTCGATGTACTTTGTATAAAGGAAACGGTGGCCCTTTCATACAGAAATAGAATTTATGAAGATGCACATTTGGCGGCATGGCAATCACAGAATGATCTTTTCTATCAAGTAAGGAGTAGGCCTACAGGAGTATCTGTAAAAATATGATTGTGATATGATTGACTTCATTTTTTATTCACGTACATGACTAGACATTGCAGTCTAAAAATAGGAAATTCAAACATAGCCTATATTAAATCGTATTCACTATCTTATTGTTGCATGCATTTGTTTTTCAGTGATCAGTCATTTGAATCTTAAATCTATTTCCAAAAATCTGCCCTGGGATAGTGGATTTCATTTTCTAAAATATGGTAGACCAGAAAATTCTTAAGATAGGACTCTTTCAATTCTTGATAATTTCAACTTCAGTGCAAGCAGGGCTGGAGAGCTGGTTCGAAATCATATTGGCTTCATCTCACATTATACCGGTATTCTGGTATTCAAACTGTGAGTGGAAGTGGTGACTCCTCTTCGGCCCATGGGCCGGGGCCACGGCCCATCAAATTGGGCCTAGGCCCATCAGGCTATGGGCCGCGGCCCATCAAGTTGTGTAAAGGAACTATTCACTTGGCTAACACAGACAGTCCCCAAACTCATAATAGAACTATAATGTAAAAATCTGAACAAAATTTTGCCCTAACCCTAACCTGGTACACATACTACAGGAGTTTATTTTTTGGTCCGAATATTGACAATTTTGTAAAAATTGAAAATTTTGGTAAGATAATTGAGTTTTTCCTGACGGGGCCGCGGCCCATAGCTTGATGGGCCACGGCCCATGTGGCCCAATTAGATGGGCCGTGGCCCCGGCCCATGGGTCGTAGTGGAGTCACCACCCCTGTAGCAAACTGTGGCCCCAGCTCAGGCGCTTCATTTTCCTATGTTCAAATGACTCTTTAACATTAAACAAGGATCCACTGGAAAGGCCAAGTGCAGTTTTAAGTATTCTGTGGCGTCTGCAGCTGCCGCAAAACCATGGCGGTATTTCCATACCATGGCCGCTACGGCCAAACCTATGGCGAATGACATTTTAGCTGCCACAAACCAATGTCGAGCTGCCGTTACCGCGGCAGCAAATTGAAAACCAATGGCAGGTAAAATTTTGCTGCCGTAACCGCGGCAGGTGGGCCGTAAAGACAGGGCTGTCCCTTATGGTGACAAATATTGGGTAAGTTGGAACGCTTTTCTTATGGATACAGTTTTGATGGATTTGGGGTTAGGGTTAGGGTTTAAGTAGATATAATTCCACATGATCAATTAAAATCTGGTACATTAATTTGTGAATATACCGTTATGAATACTGAATAGCGCTATAAAACCATGGCAAGAGCTGCCGCGGTTCGTTCGTGACAGGAGCTGCCATGAAGTGGTAAGAACTGCGGCTCGAAAAGGCACTGAATAGCTTTCCAGTTCGCCTAAGATTTTAACATAGTTTATTATAACACCACACCATCACAGCACTATTTTTTTAGTTGGTCAACACACAAAAGCACCTCTTTCAACAATTTTTATCAGTCATTTAATGTTCGAACAAGCCTTCATTCAAGCGACCTGTTTATTCTAATCACAATTTTCCTTTACCATTTGCAGTGTTATTCCTACAATCACTTCATTTTCTTGTTACACATAAAAACGATGTTTTTCATCTGTAGACTATGCTACAGGAGTGGTGACTCCTCTACGGCCCATGGGCCGGGGCCCATCTAATTGGGCCACATGGGCCGTGGCCCATAGCTTGATGGGCCGTGGCCCCGTCAGGAAAAATTCAATTACTTAACAAAATTTTCAATTTTTACCAAATTGTCAATATTCGAACCAAAAAATATACTCCTGTAGTATGTGTGCCAGGTTAGGGTTAGGACAAAAAAAATTCAGATTTTTTACATTATAGACTAGTTCTATTATGAGTCGGGGACTGTCTGTGTTATCCAAGTGAATAGTTTTTTTTACACAACTAGATGGGCCGCGGCCCATAGCCTGATGGGCCATGGCCCAATTCGATGAGCCGTGGCCCCGGCCAATGGGCCGCAGAGTCACCACTCCCACTCAGACTATGACCCCTCTTTAAAACAAGAGAGATATGCTCAAATATATGCCCACGTAGCGCCACCCAATGGCAATAATTTTGATGACGTCATAGCGAAAAAACAAGTAATAGCCTTCTGGAGAAAATTTTTATTTTTAACCACTGAAAATTTCAAAGCAATTGGTCCAGTATTCGAAGAGAAAAGCGATTTTTTAAAAATGATGGAGACAAATAATAACAAAAATATATGGACACGTTAGACCAGAGCGAATCAGTCCTTACCGGTACCTTTGACGCTACCGGTACCCTCAAAAAAGAATTTGAATTTCCAGTAGCAAGAATTTTGCAGAATCAAAACGTACAGCCAGTCATGACACTGACTAAAATCCGTGTTCCCATGGATAAAAAATAATACAGCAAAATTTTAGACAAAATATCAAATTTCATAGAATTCACGCAAAATTTTGAAATAAATAAAAGTAATAGCCTTCTAGCGAAAAAATTAATCTTTAACCACTGAAAATTTCAAAGCAATTGGTCCAGTATTCGAAGAGAAAAGCGACTTTTTAAAAACGTGTCAAAGAACAAGAACAACAACATAATATTGAAACGATCGTTATGGCCACTAAACGTGTCCAATAACAACATAATATTGAAACGATCGTTATGTCCACTAAACGTGTCCAATAAACTCATTGTTGTCACCGTTATTCATAAATTTATTTATTTGAAGTTATTGCCCGATTCGTATCGTGTATTTTTGTTTTATTGTGTTATTTGACTGTTTTTGGTGGATGGGCGCGTATTTTCACGTTTTTAACTTTTCTCTAAGTTATGCCCGTCCTCTGTGTTTTGTGTTTGTTATTGTTTTATACCAGAGCGACCGAAATAAAATTGATTGATTGATTGTATACATGTTTTTGACAAGTAGGCCCTATTCATTATTCTATTGCACAATTTACATATTGTTATCAAAGTATATAATCTGCTTTCATTCACATGAGACTGTATACCATATTTATACACAAAAATGTTAGATTACCTTACCTGCAAGTGCAGTTTTAAGTATTCTGTGGCGTCTGCAGCTGCCGCAAAACCATGGCGGTATTTTCATACCATGGCCGCTACGGCCAAACCTATGGCGACTGACTTTTTAGCTGCCACAAACCAATGACGAGCTGCCGTTACCGCGGCATCAAACTGAAAACCAATGGCAGGTAAAATATTGCTGCCGTAACCGCGGCAGGTGGGCCGTAAAGACAGGGCTGTCCCTTATGGTGACAAATATTGGGTAAGTTGGAACGTTTTTCTTATGGATACAGTTTTGATGGATTTGGGGTTTAAGTAGATATAATTCCGCATGATCAAATAAAATCTGGTACATTAATTCTGCTGCCACAAACCAATGACGAGCTGCCGTTACCGCGGCAGCAAATTGAAAACGAATGGCAGGTAAAATTTTGCTGCCGTAACCGCGGCAGGTGGGCCGTGAAGACAGGGCTGTCCCTTATGGTGACAAATATTGGGTAAGTTGGAACGTTTTTCTTATGGATACAGTTTTGATGGATTTGGGGTTAGGGTTTAAGTAGATATAATTCCGCATGATCAATTAAAATCTGGTACATTAATTCGTGAATATACCGTTAATACTGATTACTGAATAGCGCTATAAAACCATGACAAGAGCTGCCGCGGTTCGTTCGTGGCAGGAGCTGCCATGAAGTGGTAAGAACTGCGCCTCCTTACCTGAGTACGATTAAACTCTTTTTTAATCATGAATTTTATAATGAAATACTCTTTTATGACATCGTGTTTTCGAGCAGCAGGATTTCGTCAGCGTGACAGATGTTTCTAGTTGGCGTGGTAAAAACATTTTCGCTATGTTATTCCAACCAAAGTGACTACAACACTTTTATAGTCACTTTGATTCCAACGTGGTTATTCCTAATCCTCACCTGGCTACGTCATCCAAATATTACATCACAATATGTCCCATCACGTCATACAGTCATAGCGCTTGCCAAAGAAAAGCGGGTCTAATGTAGTTTCATATCTAACATACTTCTAGTGGGCGTAGCATAACAATTCTTTCTGTCAATCCTGACTACGCCAATCAAAAATTACGTCACTACAACGTCACAGTGACGTAATATAGCCTTTCAAACTATACGAACTGCAAGACGCGCAGACGAGCACCCGAAATCGAACAGCTATCACTGACGTGGCTTCCATAAAAAACGGAAAACTACTACCACTCTCTGAAACATCTGGAGACAAAAGATTGCAGTGGATCAGCCAAAATTTCATAAATTATTTTACACACTAGAAGTCTACAACAGGTGATTAGCCCAAGGTTTTTTTTACCAAAATAAATGCTATACAGCTACATGTAACACATTTTGTACTCATATTTAAAAAACAACAACATTTCATTGATTCTCCAGCATATGAAGGGCTCCAAATACTGGTACCTTCAACATGTGATATACCATATTAGACCAAACAATATTACAATATTGGACCCTAAGGCAGGGATGGCGAACCCTGACCCACGGGTCACAAAGTGACCCACCGCGTTTTATTCGTGACCAACCAATAAAACAAGAGACTACGCCCAAATATATGGACACGTCTGTTCGCAGTACAGTACGGTTTACCGTACCCTCAGATCACAGTCTACAAATATATTCACACCAAGCGAAGCAGTACAGTAGGACACAAAATGGGGTCCGATGTCCGCAGAACGTTCGGTGACGTCATAGCAAACAAAAACAAAACTCACAGAGCTAACAGAAATATTTGAAATAAATAAAAGTTATAGCCTTCTGGAGAAAAAATTCATCTTAAACCACTAAAATGTCAAAGCAATTGGTCCAGTGATCGAAGAGAAAAGCGGTTTTTGAATATTTCCACTAGGTGTCCAAAAAGTGTCAAAGAACAACAAGAATAAGAACAACATAACGATCGTTATGTCCACTAAACGTGTCCAATAAAATAAAATGCTGAAATACCGGTGGTAAAAATTGATAAAACCGGCTTCAAATTAATCATAACAATAACTCATCTATTATAAAGTACCGTCAGTTGGGTCCGGGCTGCGATCGCTCATATGTAAACTGTTAATTCCCGGACCGGTTTGGTAATTTTCAAAACAGCTAATCTCGGACGCATGTCTGCACCGCTGCGTATCGTTATTCGGTTATTCAGATGGCTCTGACAACGTTTATGACATAACACTGCAATTTATCTGTTCATTTCTCGCAACGTCTTGTCTCTTTCGGAAGTGCGTCTGCAGACTGTTTCAGGGGTTATACGAGAACTAGAGGCTCTTTTGCATTTTATTTAATTTCTCGCCTACAATGAAGTTGAGAAAACAAAATCTTTCAGACTTCAAATAAAAACCTAGAGATCTGAAATAACAATGTGGCAGTGTAAAAGTGCCTTAATGTGATTGAAAGATGATCGGAAAATATAACACTATCAGAGTGGAATTCCCTCCAAACTCTTTAGAACCGTACAATATTTTACCGCATCATCCTAAACGTGTTGGTAATTTATATGCGTGTTTCCGTACTCAAGTTTCGTAAAATCGAGTGCCATAAAAAGTTCCTGATAGAAGTGCTGCATAAGTAAAGTCCAAAACTACACCAACATCAACAGAAGCTTATAAGATTTGTTTCATAAGTTTCTTTTAGATAAAAATATTGATTAGTTGGACATCTAGTAGTAGTATATATTTACGGTTAAGCGAGTCTATGTACTCCATCTTGTGCCATATTCGGGAAACGCAAAACAATGGATCATTATGGAAAATTTTCGTCGTGTTGTTGTACCGAATCGAATAAGTCAGCTGTTATAAGGGCTAGGAATGAAGCCGAAGGGTGGTTTTCGAACTTTAAGCTATATGCTACCTAAATATATAACGCAATTAAGAATAACAAACTATCTAATGCAGGGGTCGGCAACCTACGGCCCGCGGGCCGGATCCAGCCCGCGACGCTTCACTGAATTATAGTAACAAATTATAGCTGTTTTGTCGATTATATTTTTTACGCAAAAGAATTTACGTGTAGACTGAATTATAGTAACAAATTATAGCTGTTTTGTCGATTATATTTTTTACGCAAAAGAATTTACGTGTAGACTGAATTATATTATAACGTAACAAGTATATTTTAAAACACAATTACTCGTTTAATGAGCCTATAATTTAATTATAATTTAGACAAATGACAACAAAACGCTGAAAAGTTGATGCTAAGTTCAAGTAGTTTAATGGCGCAAAAAATATTCAAATGGTCAGTCTTCGCGCGCTGCTTCAAATTTAACTTCTGATCTGTGTGATGAAATGTGATTCATCGGTCATCCATTCGATTTTTAACATTCTAAAAATATGTGCGGCCCACCAATGATTTGCAACCTTTAATTTTGGCCCGCGAGCGACAAAATGTTGCCGACCCATGATCTAATGCAGGGGTCGGGAACCTTTATTGTCAAGAGAGCCATAAAACGAATATATTTTCAATTTTATTTCTGTGCGAGCCATAAAACGAATTTGTACTCAAAAGTCAAAACATACAATGTCCCAATATACATTTAATGTGACTTCTGATGCTGCATGTTGTCACTGAGGGTCTTGAAGTCTGGTTGATAATTGGTGAGGTTAAGTTTCATACAGGCGTTGAGGCTTTCATCTGTTAAACGAGATCGCTGGTTTGTCTTATTGTTTTTCAAGTGTGAGAACGACTGCTCACATGCATATGTGGATCCAAACATGGTCAATACAGCAATACACACTCTTTTTAGTGTGCGGTAAGTGGCAGGAAGCGCGTTCCAAGTTTTGACAATCAACTGGTCAGCGGGTTGAAGTTCTTTCATTTCTGTTCATTTATGGTTGATCGCGAGCTCCGCTTGTTGTCGTTCAAGTGTTTCCAAATTTTCATTTAGTGATTTGAACTTGTTGACACATACGTCTGAAACCATTAGGTCAGCAACTTCTAACTCAAAATTTTTGATGCAGACACCAGGAATGTAACTCAAGTCGACGTCGTTTACAGCACACTCATATGGATGAGTGATGAACTTAAAAAGACTAATGCGCTCACGAAATTCTGCAAATCGCGCTTTGAATGACTGCAGGAGAATACATGTGAAGCCAACTAGCTGCTGGAGATTGGAATCATGAGTGGGATTATTTGCAGTGATTACATCTTTGAAGTTTTTCAGCCTTTCGAAATGTAACAGACGACCCGTTCCAAGATCCTCAATAAATACTTCCAGCCTTTTTTCAAATGCAAACAAAGTTTGTTGAAGGGATAGGATTGTATTTCCAATTCCTTGCATTTTCACATTGAGCTGATTGAGATGTTCAGTCATGTCCGCGAGATAATAAAACTTCCGGAGCCAGTCAGGATTGGTTAGTTAACTCAGGATGCGTAACGTTTTTCATCTTAAGAAAAGTCCGGTTTTTATTTAAGCATTCTGCAAAACGGTTGAGCACCTTCCCTCTTGACAACCAACGCACATTGCTGTGCAAAAGCAAACCGGGATAATTGTTTCCAACTTCAGCCATCAGTGATTTAAACTGGCGATCATTTAAAGCTCGGGCAACAATAAAATTAACCACCGAAGTGACCACATCCATTACGTCGCTAAACTGCTTGCCACACAATTGAGCACAAAGCGCTTCCTGATGTAGAATGCAGTGGGAACTTAGGATGGGCCTTTTTTCATGTTCAGGAAGAAGCGCTACAAACCCTTTGTTTTTCCCCATCATACAAGGAGCTCCGTCAGTGCACACTGAAACAAGATTATCAATCGGCAGCTTTTTTCCGTTGCGAACTCCATGAAAGACCGAAATAAATCTTCTCCTCGTGTTGTTCCTTTCAGTGGCAAAACAGCAAGACTTTCTTCACGCAGTGTGTCACCCACAACATACCTTGCAATTACACTGAACTGTGATAAATGGCTTACGTCCGTAGACTCATCAAAAGCAAGAGAAAATAATTCCGCTGTATTTATATCCTTTAATTGTATTTCCTCCACTTCATTTGCCATCATGATAGCGCGATCGTGAACAGTACGTGCTGACAGAGGCACGTCTTTAATTCTTTTTATTATTGTATCTTTTTTTGACAAGTCCTCAAAAAGTTCATTGGCCACATCAAGCATAAATATTTTGGCATACTCGCCATCTGTAAACGTCTTTCCGTTCTCCTCTATTGCTAAAGAGGCAGCAAAGCTAGCCGAATTACAGTTACCTTTCTGAGACCATGCTCGAAGTTGCTGCTGACTCGCTTTCACTTGGCGTAGTAGTTCCAAGCATGCCCCCTTCCTGATGTCTCCCTCTGGATATTTAGATGCGAAGGATGTGTGGCATGTGTGAAAATGTCTCTTTACATTCGACCGTTTCATCGACGCGATTTGAGCATTGCATATTAGACAAACTAAATGATCTTTTCTCTCCACAAAGGCAAATTTCTCTGCCCATTCAAGCTGAAATCCCCGATACTCATCATCTTTCTTTCTGTTTTTTTTTTCGGACGGAAGGCTTCCTTGCAAACAAACTTCTATCACTTCGTGATGTCTCAAAGTTCCAGAATCCTCTGTTTTGTCACAATGCTTGTCTGTCAATTCTCTCACAAAACATAGACATGCGCTGAGCGCGTTGGCGAATTTTCTGCCATACCTGGCCATAAAATAGTCTGAAATCTGGTAACAATACTAAGATTAACCTTTGAATATTGGATTTTCACTGGGAGCCATATGCGGTCACCAAAAGAGCCATATATGGCTCGCGAGCCATAGGTTCCCGACCCCTGATCTAATGCGTTAAATTTGACCATAAAACACAACGTAGAACCATTTTTAATCATTTTTCCGAAGATTTTATAGTGATACTCCAATTTGACGGTGTAAAATGTCCCCGCAACAATCCTACAATGTCATTTGTTCTTTTAGCACAGCTTGGAGCTGAGCAGTAGGGCATTATGGAGCTTGACAGACGAAAATTGTTAATCAGAAAATAGAAACGGCCGTTGAAGATGAAGTTGAGTCGGTCGGTAATTTCGACGAATAAATACAACTTTTCATATGTGACGTCATAAGGAACGTCATTGTCAAATGGTTGATTATGACGATTAGGATGGCCAACTTACTTCGGAAGCAACTCGGAACCGGTATACTTGTCTTCAAAGACAATTTAATGTACTATAATGTAATTTGGCAAACATGAAAGGATCAGCATGTTCGACTAAGATTCTTCTTAAATACGCGACCTTCAAAATTTTTCTACGCAAAATATTAGTGAAAATAAAAAGTACCTATGTCTCAATAATTGTGTGCTAACTCTCATAAGGCGCAGTATTGGATGGCCGAGAACATCAGGCACAATATGGCGTCCATTGTCTGAGCGTTGCCTCGATTGTATTATACCAAAGTGATTATAACTCACAGAGATTTCCAGTTCAGTGCTTGTGGCGGCTATAACCCAAGTGGAGACACCGAGTGCAATGATGCAGTAAGGACGCTATTTTGTGCCCGGCGAAACAGGGAACGCGTCATGCTCAGTTTGTAAACTTTGTATTAGCTTCATCAGTCTGCTGATCAGGAGGTTTCGTTCGTCAATTTTTCTGGAGATTTGTTACTGTTTTATATTTCATTCGCGTAAGTTTAGCATTTTTCTCTTGCTATTTGCCTAGTGGAACAATACTGGTATCGTGCGATTTCGTGAAAGTTGCGATAGTTACGGTATCTTATCATCCCGTGTGAGCTAGGCAACTTTGAAATCTGATATCTCACGAACCTTATATTATATTTAGAGTTTTATATTGTTTGAGAGACAATCTAGGAGATTAAATATAATTATGAGATGGAGATAAAATGTCGCGATTATCGTACAAAAATTGGAAAGCGTAACATTTTTTTGAAAAGCTTTTGAATTAAATAACAAAAACTTCGCTAGGTTTTGGGCTAACCTAATATGATATAGACACATTTGTAGATGTTAAAGATAGCTTTCGGCTGGTCGCATTAGATTGCATTTATCGCTCACCAGTAAAATTGTATAAGCTATTTTATTCAATGTCTTTCAATTCTCTACATGTCCGCTGCGCCAACTTGAGCTAAACAACGACGTTCCCTAACTACTTCGTTACGCAATTACGTTGCAACACAGCAGCTCTACGTTCCTTATGAAAAACACATATCGCTTTCTCTCACAAGTGGGAAACGTCACTGACCTAAAGCATACGTTTAAAGCAGGTATTGTGATACCTGTTCACACCATGCCGAACGTTTTACATTAATCATTCCAGAAGCTGATGAAATACCCTAATTTTCTCGGGAAAATTTTTCTTGATTTAACGAGCTGTTGCAAGAGTTGCTCCAAAAAATTTATGGAATGTAAACGGCCTCATGACTAGCACATTGTGCGGCCTAATGAATTTCATCGGAGCGTACAAGTTGTACATTATAACGTATAAAGTCGCCGCGACTGATGTTACAGCTCTTATCAACTTATTGGTAGGATATTTCAATTCTTTTGCGTCGGAAAATGTAAAATATTTACTAGGTGATCTAGCGACGCCATCATGTCTTCCACGTTCTTGTTGATAAAACTTAATCGGAATATTAATGATATCCAACAGTAAAAAATTAGCCCTGATGTTTCCGGCGGATCCCTATATAGACGCGGGGTTAACATTTTTTTGGTTTGGCCATTTAGTTACGTCCCATAATCAGATACTAAAGTTAACTAAACGTATATATCATGGCCCTCGTTTTTTATAAATTATCAACCATGTTCAATCAAGATGCATTTGAATATATAGCTTTTAACCGCGGCCGATGCTACGATCCTGATACAATTGGAACTCCAGATGTGAACGACAAAATGCGCGATTGCGTAATCTAACTCACGTAAAGTGATCCGCAGAACAATGTCGCCTGAATGTCAATGCCTAATTGTAATTTGCGTCATTATACGCAAACTTGGCTTCTAATCGTTCACCGATTTTGTTCATTCACCGAATTCAAAATGGATCTTCAGATGATGCCGCAAAACGAGAGTAAATCGCACTCTAGTTATATATGTATATATAGCACGAATACTATAGTCAAGGGGTGGGCACAATTTTGTAGTATAAGATCAGCATGCTGCAAGTCAGAACTTTAAAAGAGCCGCAGAATTTGTGAATTTATTAATATTATCAAAATACCATGAACAGAAAAAAAAATTCACCAAGAGTCCAATAACATTAAGGTGATAAACAAGGCAACCATGCTCAAATATATGCACAATTTGAGCTCATTCAATTTGTGTATCCTTATAGCTGATTTACGAGAGTAGTCTCGTAAGAAGTTTTCATGATTCGTTTCATGGTGCCGTTCAACATTGCTGACTTTATTCTGACTTAGTAGCTTATGGCAGATTAAGCACAGAGATTTATTCTCCTGACTGGTAAATGAGTATTTTTCTTCCCATTCTGACTTGACAACTCTGTTTTCATCTTCGTACTTTCGTTTTTTAATTGAGGACATACCGCACAGTAACTTAGACTAACTAACCGCAATCAAGCTGCAATACCGCCGACGCATCAATAAACATTGACCATTGTGACGAAAGATTTGCTGACGAAATTCAACGCTACAGCGATTTTCATACTAAAACATAATTTGTCTTAATCATTGACGAAAACTTTTTTACGACTTTTTTCAAATTAAAAGTGTTTACATTAAAGTTTTTCTGTTAGTTAAAATTTGGAGAATAATTTATGTCAGCGAGAAGAGCCGCCCAAAAAGATCGCATCCGGCCCACGAGCCGCGGTGTGCCCACCCCTGCTATAGTCTATAATAGATCCATGCCACGCAATGATATTGTAATCGCCGCGCAAAAGATAGAGATAGGCAATAATATATGGCCAAATACATGTAAATGGAGAGCCCATTTCGGTGAGCCACCTTGGGTAATGTTATGTGGCCGTGAATGTTCGTTTCCGATTGATACATTGGCCTCTTTCAGCACCTGCCAAGCAGATGATTTGTATTATTTAGCAGGCTGGGCTGTGCTCAAACAAGTGTAAAAAAACAAGACTGTGGAATCTGCAGAGAGATGCATTTGTTTCCATGGACAGTGTCAGTCACGATGAATGCCACAATCGTTACTAACTCTATTTCGGTCTTACACACATGATAAAAATTTGAAAATTGATAGTTTTACACAATATTTATGCCATTCGTATTTTTGCGCGAGGTAGAAGCTATATTTCGCGCCAATATTAATGCCTTTCCTAATATATGTTCGCCAATTACTTTTCTGACAGATAAAGTTGACTGCTTGAAATATAATTTCCCATCTTGCCACAATGGCGTTTTTAAAATTTTGAAAAGTTTTTTAATATAATGTTAAATATTCACACAAAAGAGAAAACAAAAAAATCAATATTTCGTTAGGAAACTGATAAAGTTTTTGCCTAATTTCTTTGTTCAATTGGATTAGGGTTGCCAAACGTCCTTTATTTCAAGGGACAATCCTTTAATTAAGCTTTTCGGTTCTTGTCCTTTTCAGCATGCTAATTGTCCTTTATTCTTTCCAACGTCGTTTTGCCTGATAGTTATAGTACTGTGTTTGATATTGTTCTGTGCTTAAAAATCGCTTCCGTTTATGTATTTGCAAGCTTTTAATTATTCTTTTTAATTTCGCTTTGGTCCGGCTCAAATAGCCAAAGAAATAACAATTTTATCAACATTTCAAATATTTTGCATTAATTTTCCAAAAATGGCAACACTGCAAGATTTGAGTAAATTCTAGTTCAATAACTAAAATGGCACTTTTTTCTTAAAAAGTTTTAATCTTAAGTGTGGTAATGTTTTCAAAATAGTAATATTTGTACTCTCAATTCCTTGAACCTCAGCTTATTGTGAACACATTTTTAGTGTGATGTCATCTAAATGGCGCAGTGTAATAAACAGATGCTCCATACAACTAATGAAAAGTGACCTTTAATATAATTTAACTTGAAGGACACATGACGTGAATTTTCGGGAAATATAAAACGTGATCCACAATTGCTGAATTCAGCAAAGGGTCAGCAGAAATATAACTTTAAAAATTATAAACTTATGCAACTGCGAAATTACAGCTTGTTTGGGTCAATATTAAATAAACATTAAATGGAAAACACATGACGATTTTTTAATATATATTTTTAGCTTGTATATATTTTTATTTCATTGTTTTATATTGTTCTTTCCTGTAAGTTACAAAATAAATGATGACGGTAATCTATGGCCTTTATTGAAACTTTTTATAGTTGGCAACCCTAAATTGGATAGATGATTGAACTTTTCAGCCATGCTATATACGCGAAATAGGCGCTTTTCGGCAATAGATTACGCATGAATACAAAATTTTGTACCCATCGACTCAAATTGTATTATGTACTGTAGTTGAGTTTTGGAACCTTATCAATACCAAATAATAAAATCTCGCCCCTCTTGGGCGAAAAGACATGTGACTAAAGTTTGAAAGGTGTATATTTTTACGATTTTTCACCTATGCCGATTGATGCGAAATAGGCTCTTTTCAGCAATGAATTACGCATGAATACAAAATGACTTGACTAAAAATAGTATCTAGCCCCCTTAAGAGGACAATATTTGATGTTGATTTTTGAAATTTCAAACTTACTGTATCTTTATAATATACCACATAAAATAAAATATACTGACATCTGGCTTTGCGAGGGCCGAAAATTTTAAAATAACAAAACTTATTTTATATTTCGGTTAAACTTATATTTCGATTTTGGTTGCTGCATGGATTAAAAATTTGTGATTTACCCTAAAATTCATGTAAAACTTCTTAAATTGCCATGTATATTAAAGGTAGTTTACGAATTATTACGTCATACAATGCAAAATGGCAGAAATAGAAACGCATGTACAGGTATAGGACCTAGGCCTGTTATTGGCCCGGACTTCAAAACATTTTCGATCTCGTATATGAATGCGTGTGCCTCACGTTATAGTAGCACTGACCGATTCTGTTCGGCATTTTCAACGGGTATTTTTCTCTGAGGGTAAACTCCTATGACTACGTAATCTTATGAACAAACTTGCTCTGAGCTTATTTTGTTAGCGGGGTGAATGTTTTTTTCGATAATGTACTTGGGAAAATCAGTATATAAAAGTCAATGTCGATTGAAACGCCGGGGTGTTCTCCACTCGGCTTTCTTGAAATTCATATCTCTGAGTTACCGCAAAATATACTTGAATTTACTGCTTATCAACATGTATTTGGTCCATGTCTAAAATTCGAGATAATTTTCATCGTGTTGAATTCAGGACTCGCCCATGTATAAAGTAATACACCACCGCCCTTCACTGAGCACAATAGATAGTTTTAACGCACCACTGCACAGAATTAGAAAAAGGCATGTGAGTCACTTCACAGTGGTGGTATGCATACGTCTGTGAAGTGACCATTGTCTCACCATTTTAATGCTGCAGATAGTAAACGCTTGAATGATCTTCTCTTCTGGCGCACAGAAATTACTGGATAAAGGGACAATCATATTTTGTGAAAATTTCGTGTTTTGGTGCACGATGCGCGGAATATTTGATAGTAATAGAAATAAAGTTTGTAATTTATGCTCTATGATTAAACCAACAAGAGGTCTTGAAAGATGTATACATCGTGAAAAGGCTATCGTGAAAATCGGTTAATTCTTAGCTTAGCCTCAGGGGATAGATTCCTTTATAATTTCCGTAAATGGGGGCTTGCGAAGTATGACTTTTAAGATAAAAAGCGAGAGGTGATTTTAACCGAGTAATATGAAATGTGTGCTATCATTTTTCATTCATCTGTCAATAACAATAAGTTTGATATTGACACATGTTTGTATATGTGACCTTTTTGTATTGATATATCAATATCGGGGATAATAAACAATCCCAGTTCGCGCACGTTACCTATATTATTCCTTTATATATTGGAGTCAGATTAGTATCCTATACTATAACTAATTAGTTAATAGTAGTTGAAACGTACTATGGAAGTAGGAGGAGAAGATTGTATTACCAAGGGATCATCTGTCCATGGCAATGTCAAAGAATATTATGGTTGGTAATTATAGTTGTATATATTAGTCTTTCAGGATCTCGATTGCTGGATTAAAAAGGCTTCAGAAATTGTTGTGTAAAAAATATAACCCATTTATTCTCCCAGCCATTCATTCTGTTTTTTTTTTTCATCATTTGTACTCTCCCACTGGCGAAGCATTCATGGAACAATTTCACCTCATCGGCAAGTGTCGACGCTGTTATTTCCCGCCTTCTTCTTTCCCATTTTAGTCAAAATTTCAAATCATTATCTTACCATAAGTACAGTTTACCTTTGGAGTTGAGACCATTTTATTATTCGTGATAGGAAAAACCATTCTAACAACTGATGATATAAAAACAACAGCATGTTCGCCAAGCATTGGTACGATGAGAGATTATATCCGGGATACGATGAAACTGATTCACAATGATGTTATTGCAAAGTTCTTTGGTTGTGGGATCACACTTCCTGAATGCTTGGCTGGAATGAACATATTGGGTTTGACTGTCTTTTTTTAGTATATAATGGAAAGTGAATTTAATACTGTTCATCTTAATATTTTGATATTATTATTTACCACTATAAAATGCGAATCTGATGAGTTTTAGAATAAAATGTAATTGGATGAGAGTTGAAAATCCATACGTAATTGAATTGCTCCTCATTATATTTTATAGCATACCCTACGGCATCGGTTCCCAAAGAGTGCGACACACAAATATTTTATACATCGTATTTATTACGAATGTTTTATCTTAAATGCTGTGTATATGAATCAATAAATTCAAGTTCACTTTCTGCAATTCTGCATCCATTGTTGCGTAACAATAGAGGTAGACACCTATTGCTGTTTATTTATCTTCTGAACCGAGTTTAGCGAACATGAGTGATATTTAAAGTCTTTTTAACGGAAAATCAAGCAGAGATGAGGAAAAATAGTTGACCTTTTGCCTGTATTCCCCGGGCCTATATGTTTACAAACTTTAAAATGCATAAATTAGCTACACATTAACGATCACAAAATTGAGTTTGATTTAGAAGCAGCATTTTTTTTTCGTGTAAGTGCGCCGTGAGATTTTTTTTCTGATAATTTGGCGCCGCACGAACAAAAAGTTTGGGAACCGCTGCCCTACGGCAAAAATAAATTCTTCAGTAACTAACGTGAAAAATTCAATGTTTGAACAGATACAAGTTAGTGTATCCTACCCTAAATTATTTCCCCCTGCAAGTTTAAATCAAAGACATAAACATATTTTGCAGCAATTTTACCTTATTGAACAGCGATATCGATATTCTGAATTCTTAGAATAGATCTTTGTATGTATCATTTATTCGGATCTATTGTAGATCTTGGCAGTGGAAGTGGAAGAGATTGCTATGTTCTTGCCAAACTTGTTGGTGAAGATGGATTTGTTACTGGTATTGACATGACGGATGAACAGGTCTTACTATATGGAAATAAAGCTTTTTTCATTTTTGATTATTTGAAAGCTATACTTTCTCATTCTAAGAACGTTGGGCGTTGTAGAATGTAGATGACAGTATAAACTCAAGCCTTACATTTTTCACGACATTTCTAAGGGGTGTTAAAAAACTGCAAAGCAAACTGCTCAGTTCGGCTATAAATAAATTAGACCTGCACGTAATTTACTAAATTACATAATTCGATTTCAGTTACTTAGTTACTTTTCAGTTACTTATGGAATTAAATGTCATTATTTATCTTTGTATTGTATACTTATATATTTTAATGAGATCACCTAACCTAAACTACCTAGAAAATTTGGGTTTTCATGCAACTAAATTAATATAATTTGAACAAAAAAATTTTGTTCATAAATACGAATTAGCAATGGATTTAAATTTAGCAAAAAAATGAAGTAAAACTATCGCGATTAGCGCGTCATTTTGTAAGCGATTTTCCCGTAATTACGGATTTGATTTCGGTCAATTACGTGCAAGTCTGAGGGACATTTGCGTAGGAAGCTCCATCGTGATTCTTTCAAATTCGTTGTGGCCTGATGAATTTCGTGTCTGCATGAGCTGGCCATTGGCCAAAATAGTCCGTAGCGTTATCGATTTTTAAAACGATAATTTGACCGACACAAGTCAACCAATTGAATGTTAGACGTGGACGTGGATCAATATTCAGAATAGCTCACTTCTATAAAATCAAATTAAAATGTAGATGGAGTCAAGTTTATTGAAATGATGATATGAATTCTTACAGTTGGAAATTGCAAATAAATACATTGAATATCATCGTAATGTTTTCGGATTCGAAAAATCAAATGTAAAATTTGTAAAAGGATATATTGAAAATTTGAAAGATGCTGGAATAGTGGACGAATCTGTTGATGTCATAATGTGAGTCGGCTTAATTTTTTGTATCATATATGAGATAAGATTTGGTTTTTAAGGACAACTCAATCATGAGAGTGGGAATCTTCAACTAGTTTTGGCATTCCAGACTATTGATTATGTAAGCCACATTGTTGAGTTTGGAAGTTAGCCATTCATTTGAGTAGTCGGGATAGATCTCATTATAATCCTTCACTTATTTTATCAGATCAAACTGCGTTATCAGTTTATGCGAAGACAAGCAATCCGTTTTACAAGAAGCTTTCAGAGTTTTAAAAAATGGTGGAGAATTCTATTTCAGTGATATGTATAGTGACAGAGAACCCACTGAAGAAATGAAAAATAATGAAGTGCTATGGGGTATAATTTCATAACAATAATCGTTAGTATAAAACCAGAATCTTTTTTGGTGCTTTACACGTTATATTGCCGAGGGATGAGGGAAACACAATGCTTGCCTAGGGAAACGGCGTTGAAATAGGGTGATTTCATTTTAAGTTGGACTGTTTGACGTAAATGTCCATATATTTGAGCATTGCTTTCTTGTTTTTTATATTCTCATCTACACTGGTTTTGAATATCGTTCTCATATGTGCGATCCGCAGTATGCTAAATGTTTATGAAGATCGTGAATAAGATTCGTCAAGTACTACGTCGTTTGAGTGAACTAATTGAGTTTTTTTAGGGGAAGGAATGGGCGGAGCGTTACCTTGGAGAAGGCTCTTTTCTCTTGCACAGGATATTGGGTTTGAAATACCGAGAACTGTCAGTGCACGAATTGTAGATGCAATACAACCTGATATAAAGGCTTCAGTAGGTGAGGTTACTGAAATTATGTCACATTAGGATAACCCAGAGACCTCTTGTGCAGCTGCGGTATGAAAATAGCATACCAACATCGTTACAAATTTTAGACTTTCATGGTAGTAGAATGTGGCAGCGGTTATGCATATTGAGTTATAATAATAATAAGTTATGTCTACTTTGTTAATTGTGTAAATGAAGTTGCTGCAAAACAATGCCCTTGAAGTATCCTTAATTTTTTATTGTCTTTTTAGGTGATGCCAAGTTTGTCGCTGTTACATACCGTCTTTTTAAACTTCCCACGAACATTATTCGCGAACCAAAAGATGTTTTGTATAAAGGCGAGATATTTGGACATGAAGATGAAATACAGGTTAGACGTAAAAGATGTTATTCCATATGTATTGCTACAATAAGAAAACTTATATGTTTTATCTCCTCGACTTGTGATGAACAAGTCTCTATACACGAAGTCACTGATATGTAAGGGATCCACTATATATTGAAGGATCGGAATCTTCATGGTTTGGTCTTATGTGAAATGGAAAAATCGATGCGAAATATTTAATATTGCAATGCTAACATAGTTAAGGTCATGCAGGGATGTCGAATTCGAATATCACGACCTCCGAATGTCGTTTTGAGTCTTTAGAGGAATATCGAATATCGCCCACGCATTTTCGCGCCGGCGTCCACGTTTTGAATGAAATTGTGCCGCGGCAATATATCAGCGCCGACCCGAAGTACCTATAACGCTTTGACGACATTTTTGATTGAAAATATTTTACAATCATTATCGTTATTTTACATTTGTTTCTTCATGGTGGAGATAGTTTGTGCGGCCAAAGCAAAATAAAAATGAATCGACATATCCTGTGGCCATGACCCCTTTCCTTTTCCCTGCCCTTCAATAAAAAAAATTCAAACTCGTTTGCATGGTGGTATTCAATTTGCCACGTTTTAATAATGAAACGCCAACAAATGAAAATAAGAGAATGAATGCATTACAGTCAAAAAAATAAATAAATCACAGATAAACGATGGCTCAGTGGATATAGCATCCAGTGTTTTGCTCATAACCATCCAACGCATCATCTGCCAACCCGCATTCGAATACCCATCTATGTAATGGTGGGCGTGTGTGTTACTGAAGTTTCTAACAATGCAGCTGTAAAGTTTTCATGCCTGAAGTCCAATCCTGGCGTCGTGGTTAAATTTCAGCACAACTTGCCAAAGTGCCGTTTGTTTGCAATCCTTCACCGCATTTGTCATTATTTTTTTGCAGTTTGACTGCAAGCTGAAGCTTATTCGAGGCATTCCACAAGCGACAGACGGTGACACAGCAGCAATTTTACAATCTTCAAGATTTAAAAACGAATTTTCGTTCAGAAAATCTGGGAATTATGTGCCGTCATTTGAGGTGAATAAAGAGTTAGAATGTTAGACTTAACCACGACCTTCGTTGTGATTCTTCCCCAAGGCGTAATGACCTATTCAGGGGCGAAGTTTTTGATTAATGTAAGGTACTGTGCCGCAAAAATTACTTCTAATCTGCTTGTATAGCATTACTAGAATCTAATGGTTCATTTACTCGGATCTGATTGTTATACCAAATAGATGTGCCACGGCTCCCAGTCCAGCACATGAGAAGATTATTTCCATCGTGATTCAAACTTGCAGATTAATTTGTTGTCCTGAGAAAAGTATTACTAAGACTATTTGGCTATCAAATAATTGAATGGAGAGCGTCTTCGTACTTTTAGGTTGATGATCCGTTCGTCCTGGCGGCCTCTAGTGATGGAAAAAGCTGCTGCACGGACATATAATTTTCTCAATATTGTGTATATATGTTGTTCTACTCTTACTGCGTCCTTTATGTAATAAGTGATGCGGACCGAAACAAGTGATGCGAGTTCCGCTTCTTTATGCATTTGAGGTATAAAATATGAGGTATCACTTTGGCTTGCCATTGTGTGCTATTTAATGTATTGTCACTGACCATTTACCTAAAAGCTCCAATAAATTTACTAGCTACTACTACTTTAGCCTTTGCCTTATTTTCAGTGAAGCTTGCAGAAATGAGAGAGGTGCGATATCTCAATACTAGAAGAGAATTTATTTGAGGTCTAGTTTCAAGAGCATTGTTCATTTCTGTTCGCTATATCATACTGAAATATATATGGAAAACTGTGATTGGTGTTTGCAAAGCCCCCGCTGATCTTGTTGCAGTTTTTATCACCCAGTTATCAACCCAAACGAATATTTTCAGAGTCAGAGTCGTCCGCACTTAACGACATACAAAAGAGACTCGAAACCAAACCCCAAAATGATCAGTTTTCTAATAAGAGCAATGCTAACTTAAATAAAATAGAGAACGTAAACCGCGTTTAAGCCAGGACCAAAATCCGCCGATTAGTGAGATAGAAACCAACCCCATGCGACCCGACGCCGAAAGAGACACAGGTAAGAAATTGGCGCGCCAAAATGTCAGGCTTCAACAAATAAGTTGCCGTTGCCAGTTTATTAGCACACAAAATACGAAAAGGGAGACTGACTAGAACCGTGGTCGCTACAGTATATATATAGATATCGTCTTCTTGCTAATCGAAAGCGAATCGATTAATCATGTCGCAAACTTGCTTATCATGTCTTCAGTCACACTTTGTCCACAATGAAGCTTCCAGCTCTTTGATGCTAAAAGTGACAACCATTTTCTGTTCCGTCCCGCTTATTATTCTGGAATTCCTAATGTGATCATTTTCGAACAACTGCAATAAGCTACTTTGTCTTACTCCGTTCGTAGACTGCAATATACATGACATCCTATAGGCCAGTTGCTTAATATAAGGTTTCTTTTTCCAAACGAAGCCCCCGAATATATTATATTATTGGTTCGGTCAATCGGTAATTGGAGTAGTTTGGTAACATACATATGAAGATTTATTATTTTATGTCCACCGATAGGTGATGTATTGTGCAACATTTTAGAAGGATTGCAATTTTACTAATTCCACTTTGTTTATATATATAGTACTGTTCAGTAATTAGTCACTTTGAAACTACGGGAAATTTCTATTTTGGGATAAATTATCGTTTTGTATTAAAATACTGGAATAATCCTTTTCAACCTGTCAGCAGTTAGGAAATTGGATATTAAGTTTATAATTTTTCACGTTTTCTCTCGGAACTATTTATATAGATTTCGTAATTTTACTGTTAAACTTTGACACCATTTAAATTTTCTGTCATCAATTTCAGAAAACGAGTATTCAACGATCGTTATTAGAAATGGATGTAGGGGAAAGTGGGGAAGGTTGGGACACTTTTTTTCTTTTTCATATTTTGAGCCCTTCATTCTGCACATTCATATGACATTGCGGGATAAATGCAGAGAGGGGGAATGTAGTTTTTATTCAGCGACTAAGAAATTCCCTTGCGACACACATCTTACCCCCAAAATGCTTTGAAAAACGTTTGTCAAGTGTCCCACTGTACCCCACTTGTGGGGCACATTCGGACAGACCCTGGGGCACAATGGGTCATTCTGTTAAAATTCAACGAAGTATGCCCTTAAAAATAAGCAATCAATCAGCATAATCGTCTAAAGAACAGGGAGACTTCAAATTTGAAGATTTAAGATTTTTAAAATCAAAGTTCAACCGAAATATTTCAGATATTTCACCAAAATATTCGCTTACAAATTAAATTATTTTCTAATCCGAATCTAAATCTGGAAATATTTTTGATTCTCGAATATATTTTATATTGGACCATGAGTTGAAAGATACCATAATGTTACATAAAAATATAACGCATCTCTAAGTCTCTAAGCACTTGTTGTATCAAACACTGTCGAATTGTGCCATGTAGGGCATGTTCCACTGAACCCCGGTTCATTGTTCCCCATAATCAACAAATATCTTCAGATCATCCCACGGCGAAATTCGGAAGGCCCATCCACTCTCCAACGTTATAAATATTTCACAGTGGACTATAGCTGAAAGATATCAGACGGTGGTTTGTCACGTTGAAAAGGCTAAGTTAGAAAAAAGAAAAAACTGAAACGGTGAAATTTTAGTTTCAACCCCCCAAAACCAATTTCACCTCATAGCTTGCGTCGCTCTACCCGTCCGCTGTCCGTTTGCGGGGACGTTGTAACTCACCTAAGGGCGGATTGAAACATCAAACCGCGGACCGGATTCTGAATATAGTATTAGTGTGAGAGCTGATTTTCCACTGTGCCCCATGTCCCAACGTGCCCCACCTTCCCTTATATACAATGTATATAGTACACCAAAGTAGTTTTTTCTGATAGGGGATTTAAAAACTTTCATTTGTAATAAGTGTGCCGCGAATTTTTTATTTCGTTAGTATGACGCAAGCTGAAAAAGTTTGGGAACGCCTGCGTAATCTAATTAATACGGTAGTTCACCTGTAGTGGAAGACCAAATCATAATATCATGAATTCCATCAAATCTGGAGTCGACCAACACATTGCCTTCCAAAACATTTCTGAAGAATTATGATTAAAGCTGTGGGCCACCAAAGACTCACTGGAGTCTATTAAAACTATAAAAAAAACATGGATAGTAATTTGTGAAATCATTGTAAATTGATCGAAGAAAATCGTAAGACGTAAGAAGTTATTTGGGGGCTCCCGAAGTATGCGAACCAAGATGGCGGACATCGGAATGTAATATGTGTACTAGGTTAGGGTTAGGCCATAATTTTAGGTATAAATACTACGGGAGGCTCTTGGCTAGTCTTCGAACTGATAATAGGACTAAAATAAGGAAAATTGGAAAAAAAATCATCGCCTAACCCTAACCTGTTACCCATGTTACGTTCCGATGTCCGCCATCTTGGTTCGCATACTTCGGGAGCACCGTTATTGGACACGAAATGGACATAACGATCGTTTCAATATTATGTTGTTCTTGTTCTTTGACACGTTTTTAAAAAGTCGCTTTTCTCTTCGAATACTGGACCAATTGCTTTGAAATTTTCAGTGGTTGAAGATTAATTTTTTCGCTAGAAGGCTATTACTTTTATTTATTTCAAAATTTTGCGTGAATTCTATGAAATTTGATATTTCGTCTAAAATTTTGCTGTATTATTTTTTATCCATGGAAACACGGATTTTAGTCAGTGTCATGACTAGCTGTACGTTTTGATTCTGCAAAATTCTTGCTACTGGAAATTCAGAACTTTTTTGAGGGTACCGGTAGCGTCAAAGGTACCGGTAAGGACTGATTCGCTCTGGTCTGACGTGTCCATATATTTGTGCGTAGCTCTCTTGTTTGTAATTACGTTTGAACCTAATGCGTTACATTTGTACTGATCATTGCCTTCAATTATAAATCAATTTATATTCAACAACAACATATGATTGTGAATTAACAAAACATCTCTGGGGTTTTCTAAAACTGTTTAATTAGTTTTGAATGTTTTTCAAGACTTTTTATTATCAATCGCAGGGTAAATATTTATTCTGATATATTTCAACTTATTTGATATTGTGGACATCGTACTTTTTAATGTTGTATCTTTGTAAATTGGAATTGTGGCCTAGAAAAAAAATTCCATAATCATTCAGGCTTGTCTGACATCAACATTCACTTGACCTCGACGCAGGCTGTGCAAAACTTTTTTGCTGCCCGTGGCAAGTTTCTGATGAAGATACCCCTATTCCCATTCAGGAATAATTCTGGGACTGAACAAATTATAGTAATTGTTATGCATGAGACTAAATAAATTAAAGGTCAACTAAGATAGAAACGTTTGTTTTTATTAAATTAATCATCAAACTAAGCAACAAACATTTCCATTTCGGAAAAGCGACGTAACAGTAGACGTTTTAGTAGCCACATACACAGATTTTCTGGCATAGTTGTAAACATCACCTCGTTTTTGCATGCTATTAGTTTTTGGTTATGTTTCGCAAATTTCAGTACAAACTCAATGATTATTGCGACTTATTATAGTTTAATTGTTGCTAATCAAAAATTAGTCTAAAACTAGTCTTGACAGACTAGGCTCAACTTTTCTACCGGTATTTTTAAATAACGATTGCATATTTTGAATTAAAATGTTTGTTTGAAACATATAAACCAGTTCAAGGCGAAACCATCATTAAAATGAGCACCAAAAATGTTGCAACTGTAGAATATATGAGTGATTTTTCTGGGGTCAGTGGTCGGGAAAACATCTATTGTTGACTCACCATCACCACAGTCGGTCACTCACATAATGTCAGCTTTTAATTCAATAAAAACACATCGAGAAAAACATGTGTAGTAACGCAAACTCTACCGCTCGGTTCTGCTGTCCTCTAGAACAGGGGTGTCAAACTCGTGGGTATTCGAGGGCCGCATTGCATTTTGGGAATTGTGCAAAGGGCCGCAAACACTCTTTGATATATTTTGATAATGTATACTTAAAGCATATTTTAGATAGGTGTAGTTTGTGACACCTATATATATATGTGAAGTAATTAAACAACCGAATAAAGTTTTTTTTTATTTTCCTAAATTTCAAATGCCATTTGCATATTATTTTCATGCATTTCACTATTATTGCAATTTACTGTATTTATTACAAAAAAAATCATAAACTTTACTTCCACAGATTGTTTTGGAGCAGGTTTTCTGCTGATTTAGCTGTACTTGCTGTAACTGCAACAGTTTCATGGTTCGAAGTTGATCTTTAAATTTAGTCATATTGAATGCTGTTCTTATTCTGATTATGTCTACTTCTATTGTATTTTTTCATTATACTGATGGAAAAGTGACGAATTAAACAATGACTTCAGAATTTTGAGAAATAACAATTATTGTTAAGCGTTCAAGAGCCGCATTGAAATTTCAATGGGGCCACAGGCGGCCCGCGGGTCGCAAGGTTGACCCACCTGCTCTAGAACGTGCTACCTGGGACGACTGCCCCTTTCGCTCCCTCTAGGCACGCAACTGCCCCGATGTCATCAACTTGATCAGTTTCTGAAGTATTGTAGACTTACTTTTTTCTTTATACTTGAATTGATTCAAGTTTTATCGTTTTTTTATTACTTTGCTGAAAACAGTGGAACCCGATGGGCAATATTATTCGACGGGTAGAGCTTTCATATTGATTTATATTTACTTGTTTGTGGTAATGTTGTTATGTGAAATAAAATTTTCATCTCTTTATTATACGAAGGAACAAAGTAAGATGGTTTTCCATTTCTTTCTTTTTATATATGAATTGCCTTAACTTTTCATCGTTTCTTCACTTTACCTTTACTAAAAATATGAATGCTTGAAAAAAGTTAAGCGCAGCGCATCACAATCCACGATGAATTTCATCGGGTTTGCCAACTGACACCAGCTAAAAGATATTATTCGAACTCTAGAACTTTAATATTCATTATGGTGTTGGTGTAAATGTTGTTTTGTGAAAAAAATCTCTCTTTAAATTATATGGTGGGGAATTATACCCGCCAACGCTAGTGGCGCAGGACATTGGGGGAGGCGACATTTACATTTGACGATTGGCTTATACTGTTATAGATGTCTTGTTTGTGACGGAAAAGTGTTGCCGATTTCGATGTCTTTTCGTAAACATGTTTAGTTGCTGGCTACCTATTCACTGACTCTTCTTACAGTCTGATTTCGTTTAAGGTGTTGAGTTGTAGTGACATAATTTAGCCAGGTGAGGGTTAGAAATGACATAGGCTATGCGAAAATCTGAAAATGGTTACGCCATGCCAAATACCTGACTGCTGACTACCGTACCACCGTACGGTACGGTACTGAACTAGAAGTACCGGTACTTGACGTCGTTTAGTGAACTAGCCCTTGATTTTCACTCACATTGGGATTAGTTTAAGTATAATAACATACGGTACCGTAACATTAGGAATAGCTAAATAATGCTGTAATGTCTGAATGTTATATTTAGTTATCTGTTTATAAATTCTGTCAAAAACACTTGTCAATCCTTATGCAGAACCACCAAAAGATGACGTGTGATAAAAAAATTTTAGAATATCAATCAGGTTCCTGCTGTAAATAAAAAAAATCTCCACTGTCAGACTGTGATAAGCTCTGTGGTTCAGTGGTTGGTGCACATGCACCATGCCAAGCGTTAGGACTACATTGATAGGCTCTAATCCCATGGCAGCATGGCCGATAATTCAGTAATTACTGGATTATGGTATGTGCAAGACAAATAAAACGAAGAAATGGGGAGAATATTGAGCCAATATACCCTATTTTAGTTAGGCTATATCTAGTTTATTATTGAAAGTGCAAAGTTTATTTTCTTTCAATTCTGAACCTATAATGCTAGTTTATATGAAAATAGTAGCATTCAGAGAATAATTTCAACATTAATATCCAAATGTGATGGTTTCCTGACATATATGCCTGTGAGCATGATTTACCAATGCTAATGGTCACTGCTATTATTGTTAAACAAAAGCAAATTTTCTCATGCAAATTAAATACAAATGGCTTACCTTTGGTTAATAACCTGGTTTAGAGACAATTGTCAGTACTTAAAGTTACTACTTACCGTACTATCAGTTTTTTTGTTCGAATCGAATTTGAGGTCTTTTTATGTGACATGAAGGAGTTAAATTTATTATCATTAGAATTATTGCTGTGATATCTTGCAATGGGCAATACATGTGTAAGCAATATTAAGCAGTGAATAGAGCAATAATCAACCTAAAACATGTATAGACCTATCCAACATACATAACCGAGGTGCAGTATATACTATCAGCTTTTTGTAGTGGCACATATAAGAAATTTTATGTTTATTTTGATGTTTAATTTTAATTTATAGTAAAAACTTATTGCTTTTTCCAAGGTATTTTATGATATATAACAATAATAGACTGTTTAGATGAGATTTTTCTAATGTGCAAAATATACCTTTAGCAGTGGACCATTCTCCTATTTTTATTCATATATTGGTTCTGGAACACATTCCAAAACTCATGTAATAAAATCCCTATGTTGTTTTCAGCTACAATAGTTCAGAATACAAATACTGAAATAGATGAAACCAAGTTTATCGTTTCACATATCACTCCTTCCCTGGTGAATTCTGAGGCTAAAACAATTTTTTTTTATCAACATTGAACTCAAGTTCAGTCCAAAGTTGAGGGAATTTTATTTTCCTAGCTTTTAATAATCCTAGTTTAAAACAGTTGACTTTTGATATGTCTATGTCTAATATGGAGGAAGAGGAAAATGACCCTGAAATACAAACTACTATTACACAAGGTCATTCCGGCCATAGTCAGATCCTTCATGTCCGTCAGGATTCTGCAAATGAGTTGGATCAATTATTCAATGTTGCTTTGGATCCTAATAAAAAGACAAAATCCCTTCCCATGAAGTATAGGAAACTTCCCAAGTCATTTTTTCAGCAACCGGATAGACCACGTCATGTGCCGATGCATGCACACTCTCGTTCAATGGGTGGGCTAGTTTCAACACCAGTCAATCACTCACGGAGCTCCAGTACAGATTCAAGTGCATCTCATCAATCCGGTTTAAATTTATCTTCGAATAATCTTCCACAGCAGTCTCAAACACACATGAATAATAATATTGGACCCCGATCTGGAAACTTTACCCCAGGTCCAATGCAACATTCACCCTTTCAAAATTCGCCAAGTCACCTTGCACTGCAACAACCACAAATCGCGCACTCCCGATCCAAGTCATCACCTGCAAGTTTGCAAATAGCCAACGCAAATATGCAGATGAAAATTCAGCAACCTAGTAATCATATTGAAATACCACCTGATATGCCATTACCACAGGGATGGGAATTCGCGAGAACTCAGGACGGTCAAACTTATTTCATGAAGTATGTAAATAAGTTAATTTTTACTTTTTTTACAAGAAATACCTTTTTTCATTTTAATGAAGTAATTTTCAAATTTCTAGGCGCTTTTAAGATACTTGGTGAATATAATAGTCCAATTGAGGAAACAATGCACTTCTAACACATCCTGCTGTCACTTGTTAATTAAACGAACAAGTCTGAAGAACTGCACTTCATGAATCTAACATGGTTTTGGAACATATAGTCTGTTTCTAATTTTAGTTGTTGGTGTAATAAGTATAAATCTTATAATACAGTTCTTGCAAGTTATTATAGTACCAGTACTGAGTGCTTCGTGTGATATAAATTTATAAGTCTCCAACTCTGCCAGTACATTGATTTGTTTTATAATCACTTTTCAGTCACACAAACAGAACTACTACCTGGGTTGATCCACGAATTGACGTAATAAAAGAGCAACAAGAAAGAGTTAATGCCAATAACATGCAAGCAGTCAACCATCAACAGTCTCAGATGCATATTAATAGTGTACAACAGCCTGAGGTATCACATTTTTTTACATCATTTATTCTTTGCTGTGCAGACATAAATCGTATATCGAGTTGGAGATTATGGCTGTTTTAATTACATCTTTGCTCCATGCGTTTTACAGCATCAGCTTGTATTTTGCTTGTATGATTTGGTAAGATCTGACAATATATCGGTGTAAGTGATTGCATATTGCATCATTGCTATAAAAACTTAAGCCTCGGAAGTTGGAACGTTCTTCTCTAGTTGTTAACAATAATAAAATGTAATATCATTTACTAATAAATTGAATTGAATGATTGAATCAATGTATTTTTTGGTGTAGAGTTATTTTATCAAGCATATTATTGTGCAACAATAATCATATCTAGAATAGCATAATCGAGTCATAATTTAATTTTTGTGTGGCCTACGCATTACCAGAAATTTGTGTATTTGACCCAGTATTAAAAAAGTTTATCTACCACTGCTCTAAAATAAATGATAGTAGCTTAATTAGCTCAATCAAGCAATCAAATAGTTTTTTATTAGACATGCCGGTAAAGCAAAACAAAATGGAAACAAGAAAGATCACAAAATATTTGTACCAAATGGTTGGATAACCGTGAAATGACCATTCGGTCTACTTGTCAGCGGCAACCTTAAAATAGCTTAAATAAAAGTTGTGGCTACAAAATTTGCACAGCGCTAAACGTTTTTATGCGAGAACAGCATCGCCCCAAGATGACGCTGAAAGGCAATAATACACCTTGTTATTTATAAAACTAATCAATGGCTATAAACATTTCAGCAATTAGTTGTGCAGCAACCTCTTCCGAGTGGTTGGGAACAAGCAACTACACCACAGGGTGAAATATACTTCATAAATCATGAAACACGGACCACTAGCTGGTTAGACCCAAGACTTCAAGGTTCATTTTTTTTAATATTTCCATGCAAATTATCATTTGCTTTTTATACAATATCAAATTTTTACCTTTTTTTCTTTTATTCTATTTGCATCAATTGTAGGCATGAATCTAGGTGGTCAGTCACAGATGAATGCACAGATACAACAGCAGCTTCATAAGGTAACAATTGAACTGTAATAATTTTTTTGTGAATAACCCTCGTTCAACTGTGATCTACATATATTGCTGTTTCCAGTCCCACAGTAAAAAGTCCTAGTTTGTTATATGACTTTTTGTTAATGAGATGTTGGGTAGTGTTGCTTAGTTAACACTGTATTAACAATATTTATTTCCCAATTTTTCCTTTTTCAATGTGACTAAAATATATCATGACAAGAGGAGGGCAATTGTTAGACTATAGAATATCCATTATTAAGCAGTTATTCAAATGTCTGTAGTCTGTCGTACGAAATGTTTTGTGCAGAATTTTTTTTGTAAATAAAGAAGTATTGTTCTAATTACGGCATTGTTTTAATAGTACCGAACAACAGTATTGGGCTCTAACAAGTGGTTTTCCCCAAATAATGATGATTGAACAGTTCATATAATGTTTGCTTTACTGATCTCAGAAGAAATTTTTATAATCGGCAATGAAGTAAATCAAATTGTTTTGAGCTGAATTATTCTTTTATTTGAAATTTGCATCCTCAGTTTTTTTTGTCTTTTGTCATGACTTTCAGAACAATATGCGTTTTCATGGGTTTGTTTAATAGTTAATTTAATTATATAAAAATTTAGACATGACCTTCTGGATTTTTTGAGTTTGATATGTTCAAATGTGGTCACCAAATTTAGCTGAACAATTCTGTAGGGTTCAATGGAGGCTAAAAAAGTCGTGCTGGACCCAGGGATGGCCAATACCGAATAGTTCACTATTTCGAATACATTCGAAATTATTTTTTTCGAATATGAAATTTCGAATACTTCGAAAATAAAATCCACTAATTGAAGCTTATCTAAATGTATGTAGGAATTTCCATACAATAAGCCATGGAATAACTGCTATCTAGAAGTTACAACCTAGCTTTATTACCAGGCATTTCATATTCCAGTATATATTTTATATACCATGAGTTATGTTAACAGAATTAAATTAATACGGCAATAGTAGTATCGGTGATGGATTTGAATATTTGCGCAACACAAAATCATTCTAGTGAAACGCCCATACTCTTAATTAAACACCAACCATTATCCAAATTATTTGCCGATAAGCGGGATAAAGTATGAGTTATTTTGGTTATTGTGAGTACAAAAATGCGAATCAAAAATTAATTATATTCGGGAACTATACCACACATTTTAAGTCCGCAGATCGCCGTTGTATGTTTGAGTAATAATACTTTTATTATTTTATAAATATGAAAATAGGAATCAGAAACTATTTATAATCGGGTAGTTTATCACACATTCTAAGTTCACAGATCGCCGTTGTATTTTGTAAATACGAAAATAGGAATCAAAAATTAATATTAATCGCGAGTTTGCCACACAATTTATGTCCACAGATTGCCATGATATTGTGCCGAATATAATTAGTTTTTAATTCTTATTTTCGTACTCACGAAAAAATAGTCACACGTTGGAAAATAATTTATACTTTATCCCGCATTTTGGGAACTAATTTGGATAATGGTTGCCATTGGTTTGTATTTAAAAGTATGGACTTTTTACTAGGATGATTTTGTGCTGCGCAAAATATTCGAATCCATGACCGATACCTCTATTTGAAATGCCTTACCGTGTTAATTTAATTCTATTATCATAACTCAAATGTGGTGACCGTACATTTGAACCCATGTACATTTGAACCCATGTGTATATCCGCGGGTTCAATCTATATGCGGGTGTTAAACCCATGGGTTAGGGTTAGTATGGGTTCAAATATCCGTAAAACAAAAAAAAAATCCATAGGTGCAATAGTAGGCAGGTGCAATTGCCATGGGTTCAAATGTACGTGGGTTCAAATGTAATGGAACCCTCAAATGTTGGTAAATCGGGCAGTTTACCACACATTTTAAGGCCACAGATCGCCGTTGCATTTTAGAAATATAGTTTTATTATTTTGTAAATACGAATCAGAATTTAATTCTAATTGAGCAGTTTACTACATATTTCATGACCACAAATACCCGTGGTATTTGGTATTAATACTTTCATTATTTTATCAATATGAAAATAGGAATCAATATTTTATAATATCGGTCAGTTCACCACACATTTTATGTCCACAGATTGTCGATACAACCATGAGTTACGTTGAACAGAATTAAATTAATACAGCATGACATTTTAATAAATGCTGTTACCAGTCATGGATTGGATTATTTTGCGCAACAAAAATCATCTTGGTAAAGGATCGATACTTTTAACTATCGTTATCAAAATTATTTGCCAGAAATTATTTTCTAATAAATCGACTTTTTTTCCCAACTTGTGACAATTTATTTGATACGTAACAATTACGGCTATAAATACCGTATTTCCCGGCTAATAAGTCCACATGGCAAATAGGACGATGTCTATTTTTAGCACTCAAAAAAGGGGTTTTTCCATATAGGCCTCCAATAAGACGGGTAAAAAAATTGTGTCCCTGTTGTTCAGTTATGCTAATATGCGCTAATAATTTTATATGTTTAGAACCAGATCATTTAACTATATTTAACAATTGAGCGGTAAATTTAAGTTGTAAAGCGGTAATCATTTTGGACAACCTATTAACCCGAATGTTGAAATAATTTTGAAATGTGATAAGTACTACACTGTACGTCCACGGGTTATTTCACAGCTGTGTTTTCCTGTCCCTGTCGTGTTCTGCTGAATCGGCAAAACGAAAGGGTCACAAATCACTTTATCTCGGTGGCCGTGTTTCTCTTTAAAGTAACGATAACCGGCCTGCGATTAAATATCATGATTGGCAGGCCCTAAGACCCAAATATAAGGTTACACAAATCATGTTTGAGAAGACTCATGCGAATAAAAAGCAGGCCACATCGAAATAAAATAAACATACTTTCTCAATTAGACGCCCCCCCCCCCGCCTAGAAAAGCGACTCATTAGACGAATTTTTGACGTAATGGAAATGAATTTGTAAATTAAAAGCCTTGTAGACGAATGTAGGCAATGTCCACACGCGCAAACGTGCAAATATGTCGCAACACTATGCGACGTACCGTCGCACAGAATATAAACAATCAAAATGCCGATTCTATTTCATCGTCATTAAAATACGTGAGACAGCGTAAAAAGTCGTTTGAATATTCCCGTAAAACGAAACACCACGTTTACGGCGAAAAGTGGCTACTATTCGGAATTATTCGAAAATCAGCCGAAAAGGTATTCGAATACTTTGATATTCGAATACATTCGAATATTCGATTCGTTTTGGACAACCCTGGCTGGACCTCAACCATCAATATACTAAATATATGTAGAGCTATCGAATTATTTTGGTTCTGAAGTGTGATTAAACATGACCAGAATAATATTAAAAAATGATTGTGAATATCATGCTCGATGAATTTGTAGTTATATCAATTATTTTGGTTACTTCCTAAATAAGACTGTCATCATGGTGGTAAATTGATTAACCCTGATCTTACCTCCTATGAGTTTCTCCAATTTAGCTCTGTGCGGTAATTTGAGTAAGTAATTAGTAATTACCGGTAAGTAATTAGTATTATTTGTAATGTTGAAAATACATTTAGATGAATCAGTTGGACATCAGTTCTCCACCACCTCCAAATTCTCACCAACAGAGAAGTGCTCCAGGATCTCAAATGTTGTTTAGTAAACTCACAAAAGAAAAAGAAATGATTATGAAAATGAGGCAACAGCAAATGCTCAAACAAGTAAGCTATGGATTTAGTTGGATAATTCAATAATAATTTTTCTGTATTGACTAAATGACTTATGCTGATATTTTCAAAGTGTCTTATACTGTGGAACAAAAAGTTATAAAAGTTTTGTGGCATAAATTAAAGTATTCTATTTTCATTAAAAAGTGATATGTCTGAGCTTGAGTGGCTTTTAAATCACCTTGAATTACTTTTTTATGATTCCACAATGTAATGCCTGTATTTATCGAGAGTTAAGATGCTTATTAAATTTCATTACTAATTTTCATTAGGTTTTCAAACTAACTCTGTAAAATTTGAAAAACAAAATTCAAACTTAATAGATAAATTGTAATATTAATATAAAATGGTTTTTCCCAAACTTTGACCCCTAGCCATATTGCTCACTCATTAACAAAATATTACCAAATTATTTATTGTAAGACAACTAATTATAAGCAAACTTAGCTCTTGGGTTGAATTTAAAAAATGCAGTCCAAATAAGCAATTAAAATAGACTTTTCAGATACATGATAATTTGATAAACCGATGTCCTATGTCCTGCCTGAAGCCACATCAGGTTGTGTGTGACTTTTGGTGCCTTGAAAAAAATATTTGCTAGTAGATTCCACTGTTGAGTGGAAGATATTAACGTATGATGTATCTCCAATTATTAACAAGAAAGCACCTGAATAATGTTATTTCATGTGTTATAGTGTTAGAAGAAACATAAGTGTTGCCCAATAAGATCTTGTGTAGTGCACATTGAGTCAGTGACACAGTATTGATTGAAGTGACCTTAATAAAGTTTTTTGTCACTGGCAAAATTAATTGGATTGTTATCACATACAATTTCTTTTCAATATCTAATAACAATCTTATTTCAAGCGTTTGCAATACTCCTTTATTCACAACAAACTGAGATGTGCCTGACGATGGTAGATAAATATTTATTTACAATTACAATATTGTAAATTTGTAATACTATCATGTCAATTTTAGACCGGTATGGATCCTTTCTTGGGTAGTAATTCATCATGTCATGAGCGAGAACCAAGTCGAGAGAGTGGTGTGAGTGGAATGGGAAGTAATTTCAATCTTCCCAGGACTCCGAATGAATATTTGGGAAGTGTTGAAGAAGAAATGGATACAGGTGAAGAAAATCTTTCCCTGATTTTTTAAACCGGTTTATCAGTTTACATTTGGATGCGATAGAAAATTTGTACAATTTTATTATTGAGGCTTCTCTCTTACTATTAAAAGATGTTGGTGCTTTTGCATTAATATATATCTAGAATATCTGTATCAATCTATATATCTGTAGAATGGGACTTTGGGCACAAACTGATATTCATAACTGACATACTTTATTGGAAGTTTATCCATTAGGACAGATAAGGTCATAAGAGGTGGTTCCAAAATAGACTGGAGTTAAATCAGTTGGTGCCTAAGAAACCTTCAAACGGATGCAACAAATTTACCTTGCCTTGCTATATTAATGAACATAATTTTTAGATGGGGGCAATCATAATCAGCAAGACATGAATCAACAGCAAAGTTGTATGGCAACTTCACAGCAGGGAAGACAACAGCATGTCCAACGTGGAAATGCACACCAACAACAACAAGCTCAACATTTTCCAGATTTCTTAGACAGTTTGCCAGCATCCAGTGTTGATTTCAGCAACGAAGGAAATCATCCTCAATCAAATGCCCTTGACAGTGATGAACTCGTTCCTAGCATCAGTGAAACTCTGTCGCCAGACTTCATACATGATGTGGAGTCCATGCTCAATCCTGTCGTTAAAAGTGAGAACATGGACAGTATGACTTGGCTCTGATACCAGCATACCATGTTTGTTTTGGCTTTTATGTGCCCTCATGTGCCTTGTTTTTATTGAAATATGTTGTTTTCTATTTTGCATTACATCAATTATCGGAATCTTCGGTTTTAGATTATGAAATATTTTTTCAATCGTTTTGTAACTAGCTTTCAATTGTTGATGTTTGTGACCGAATTGACTTTTTATTTTATTTTATATTATGTATTGTTTCATGTATTTTTTTTGTTTTCAGTTTCCAGCATATGTAAATATAGAGTAACCAAATTGAGGTGCTATGACAGTTGAAATAATAACGACTCAATCCAAAAATTCTCTCTAGCAATGAAATGATCAATGTATATTCCTATATGTTGAGATGCACGGTCTGTGTATGTGGAAATGTTTTGTGGTTATTCATAGTGTTGATAATATGATTTATATGAATCTTAGTTTTCTGATACTATTTCAGACTCGCATACTGACTAAATTATCATTTAAATTGTTACTCTCGGGTTATTGTTTTATTCCTTAAAACCTCATTATTATTTGGTAACGACATCAAACTATCAAGATATGTTTTGATTTTATTGACGAGACTCAAGTTTTGGTCATTTCACAGCACCGATGGTATTAGCGCACAAAACTTTTAAATATAATATTCCAGTTCATCTCTGATACAGAAGAGCCTGCATAGTATATAGCAGTGTTTTATTTTTTGTTTCTTGGAGACTTTGCTTTGAAAAATCCTCTAAATAAATGATAAAATATATTAATTTCTGGCTTAAGAGTGTTGTACATAATTTAATTTTGACCAAACAAACTCATTGTGAACATATTGTAATTTATATCGTTTTTCTGAAATGTTCTTCAGTCATCTGCAGACGACATAAATAAAAATGTTCTCTATGTGGAAAATGTACTTAACAACTTTCTCTGGTTGGTTTAAGTTTTATTAATCTGGTGGAATATATGATGAAGATATTTTTGAGTAGAATGAACTAGATAGATAATGAAAATCGTTGACGATAGTTGTTGATGAATGATTTAAATTATTGCTGTTTTGGATGACATGAGGTGTTGATTTACCCTGAGAGAAGTCTTTTAATTTTCTCTTTTCAAAATATTGATAGTTGATTAGCCTGGGTGAATAAATCAATTTCTGCTTGAGAGATAGGAGTTGTTTAATGGAAAGAAAATTATGCGTTTTGTGTTTTGTTTTAAATATTTACGATACTGAGAATGTATGTGTATAAGCCATATATGGCTTTGAGATGATCAAATCTATACTTGCCTATAATGTGACCTTTTTTTCCTCTGATAACACCTGATTCTTTGTAGCCTTCTTTACATGGACAAAGCATTTTAGCACCCTATGTTATTGGAGAGTATATACGCCTGTATATCGTTGAATACAAATGATGTTATGTTTTTGACACATTTTACTTGATATTTGACTCTTAAATTCATTTTTGTGAACAATTCTCCCTGTGTTCATTTCAGATTATTTACAGCTATATACGGAAGTTTAGTACAAAAATTTTCAACGTTAATTATAAAAAACGGTTCTGGTTTTATAAAACGTATTAAAAATCGTCATATAACATAAATACATATATATTATATATTCTATTATACATTGGTTTTATTTTTGCTTGCCAGCATGTGTTTTTATGAATGTATCATATTATATAATCTTCCATCCGAAACGTGCTGTTTAACATCTGTTTATTGCAACTTTATAATGTGGTATGTTTTAGTTATAGGCAGACCAAAATTTTAACCATCCTAGCACATTTGTGATGAAAGTTATATCACTGGACACATACGGTACTAAAAAGTGTGGGCAACTTATAAATAAACAGCTACACCATGCTAGGACCAGTTTCTATATCAAATCATTGCATGAGGTCTGTGAACGATAGGATAAGGAATTGATTACCTTAAAAATGTGTTTTCATGCATTAATTTTATATCATTATTGTGGTTACCAGTGGTCAGACTGTAAATCGTAACCCATTCTGCTGCAAGAAATGTCAAATGCGGTTTGTAATATAATTTTATTGTATATGGTTGCCCTTTGCACTGAGGTCTAAAATCTTGTGTTGGCGGTACTATCACTATATAATATTCTTTTAGTATTTTACATATAGTGCTGGTACCAATGTGCCTTACCGTTTTGTTTTCTATTGTATTATTCTATTGTTTGCCTTTTTTACTTATTGGATGTGTGCCTTTTTAAATGTACAAGCAGCTCGAAAAGTATTGATGAGCGTGGTTTGTTTAGCGCATGTACACTTTTACTCTTGTGTTTTATATAATATCAGTGCTATTCAAACTGAATTTTTTAAGGTACATCTTGAATTGAATTTGCTTTTTCCCTTAAATGAAATGCATGAAACTATTTTCCATGGCTTTCTTTTGGTAAAGCAATGTGTATATATTCGTATTTTATTAACATTTTGAATAACTCAAAAATGGATTCTTTGTACAGGGTGGTCAAAGGCTAAAAAGTATTTTATTTCTAGAAAAGGATTCTTCAGTAACGAAAAAGGAAAAATTGATTAACTTCTGGTACTTATCATTAGGGCACTTCGAATCAAATAGTAAATTATTTGAATCTGTTCAGACGAAAATTTCGAATCGCCGCCATCTTGTTTTTTTACCCGCCAAAGGTTCGGGTGAATTCCCAAATTTTTTATTGAAGCCATATTTTCGCTATGCTATTCTGACATACGACTCTTTTCCTAGTAGTGAATTATTGATAAACTTTTCTTGTGTATGGATCTCAGCAAATTGTCCGAATGATGGATTCTATGTATTCAGTAATTTATGTAATATTTCCCCAAGGTTCTGAAATCCTCAAATATTCGAAAATGCCTAGCCCTACTAATCATATCGGGGTTCGAGGCCCCTGGGCTATTGTCTATCTTGCCTAATGGTATAACCGGCCCTGGTTTGAATCCCATGAGTGATGTGACAATGTGCAAAAGGAGTTTGCTGGACTCGTCGCAGGGTGGTTCACATAAACATAATGGCTGATTGGTTGCGTCTTCTTCCTCCACCAACCACGTTTGTGGAGAAGTACAGCTTGTGTATGCGCAAGTCAATATTCCTGTGGTTTCGAAGGGTTTATTGCGAATAAGAAGCAATTGCCAAGTTTTTACATCTATTTTTCTTTCAACTTATTCAACAACAAAAAATCAAATACTACAGCCATTTTAAACAAAACAGGCAAAAAAAAACTTGATTTGAAACATTTGTTTTATTACAATTCATTTCGAACAAATCCCTAGTCAAGATTCAAATGCGATCTTTTTCTTTACGTGACCTATTTATACTCCTTTTGCTGTCAACAAAGCTAGGAACAATCGTCCACTTCTAGGTAAAAGCTAATTTAATCTGAATGGTCCGGAATTTTTTCAGATCTGCATTGCCTGCCTAATTTATTATTCCAATATGGGCGAGCGGTCGGGCATGGGATTTGAAACCCACCTTATAGCCTGCGGTTTCGACGTTAAGTAAAGAAGAGCTTCAATCACTTCGCAGTCTAATGTTAAGATGCAATTCGATGAACTCTGATAGTAAAAAACTAGAAGTTACCCTGTTGATATCCCAAAGTCCACGATAGGCAGTACTGATTGATTCAAATTTTACAAACATGAAATTATTGTGGTCAAATAGGAAAGGAATATCATTACATGGGTTTGTCTCTTTAGATTCTGAACTACTTTAAACTTCAAATAGGATAGAATATTTTACCTAGATATGGCAGTGAAAACACCATTAGACTTATCTCATATAATCCAGGTTTTCTACATCAGTTATGGATAATAAAGTGTCCTTATGTTTGTTGTTTATTAACACCTTGCCGTTTGATGTGCGTAACACTAAGGGCTAGGAGGGCATAACCACATCGCTTGATCTTAATCAAACAGCGAATAATGCTAATCGTTCTTAACAGTCTATTTATTGTAGAAGGCATGTATACGAGAATTTTTGGAGCCCCCGAAGTATGTGCACCAAGATGGCGCACAATCTGAACATAGTATGTGTACCAGGTTAGAGTTGAGGTTGTACACCATCTTGGTGCATATACTTCTTGAGCGCCGAATTTTTTATCAAAATTATATTTTCTCCGAGAAGAAGTCGGGTCGAATTTTTTTACAAACCAGAGTCAAGTCAAAATTCTTCTTTAACCCGGAGTCTAAGGTAACTATTTTCCGACCGACTATACTTCCGACTAATATGGAATCGATACTGATATTTTTGATTCGTCGTATTAGAATTCTTCTAACCTCGGGTATTTTGAACATATTATCTATTTTTTGCCATTTTTATTAGAATGAAAGTGAAATTTGACCCGTAAAAGCAGGTTGCGGCCGCGGCTCATTTCCGCCACAAATTCTATTGGATTGGCAGTATTTTTCGGGAAATTCAAACGACGAGATCATGTCATTTGCCTTGATTAGGTTGTCTGGATCTCGTCCATACGTTTGGTGTAAATTTTTCCCTCTTTAGGAACATAACGTGAACACGTGGTAGTTAAGCACAGGAAACAGTATCAATGAAAATATGCATTATATACCCGCACATTGAAAAATATCTGTAGTGAGTGTCGACATTCGGAGATAGAACGTTCACTTTTATTTCTGTGAATTTTTATACAGTGATAGGAAGTGATCTAGAGATTCTAGATGTATAGGAATAAATCACTTCATACTTTTGTTAAAAGTTTCATTTTGTTGTAGTAACCGTGGTAAATAGGTTGAAAAATAGTAACAGAGTCGTATGATGAGCATCGGAGAATGTGTTTTGTTGTCAATTTCAATTTTGACATTTTTTCAACTAAAAGTAGCTATTTCAACGCCACCACAAGAAAACTACGATGAATGGGCCATAGAAGTTACAAAGGGGATCGAGAACAAAAAGGAAGTTGTAAACACTATAGCGAAGAAACTAGGCCTTGAATTGGTTCGGTCGGTAAGTCATGATCTATAACGCATGTTCTAAACAACCTTTATAAATGGTAAATTTAAAGATAATTTTAAATAGTCAGATCATAGTGGCACGTTACCTCTTTTCAAATGGGTAATTCAGGCGACAATTCGTGTCAATATACTCTCCTACCGGCCCCCTTTTTACTCAACTGTGTATAAATTCAAGCAAAACATTTCTCACCGATCTAACATTGCTTGAATATTTTGTCTTGAAGTGCGCTTTGAATTTTCTAATATTCATACAGCACAGTATGTTTTTTGGTTAGTATATATGCTGCATAAAATACCATGGACAACAAAATTTTAGGCGAAGAAATGAGCCACTTACAAAGTGGCTGAGGAATATCTGCAGCTAGTCACATAAATTGTTAAATAATATTATCAACACAAACATTTATTTATGATTTCAATCAATTACAAACTCTAATGCATATCATCTGATAATGTTAACAGATATCGGATGAGCACATGCCAGAGTTCTTTCATTTACGCGCGGAAAAAGACCTATTAAATCAGGATGCAATGACTGAGCTTTTATTCGATGAACCAGAGGTGAGAAACATTGAATAGTCATGAATCTGCCCAGACTATGTCAACAGTATTGGCAATCACGACAACTAGTGCTATTTATAGAAACCTACTCACTCTTATGAACTATACTCAACATGATCTTCACAAAATCCGTTCACAAAATTACAAAAAATAGCATAGAACTCAAATATTACTAAACTCAATTTGTGATATATATAGGGTTTATTGTTTGTGAGGATTTGCTCGCAGCAAAATTACGCTCGGTCATTTAAGAGAAAAACGAACGAGCGACAACTGAAATGTCATCATATATTTTAACAGGTGAAAATAATTTGAAATCAAATTTTCCGTATGCATAGGACGATATTCAGGGAAATATTATAACATTTTACTTAAAGGAACTATATATATATATATTTGTACCCATTTCAGATTGTGTATGCCGAATTTCAAGTTCAACATGAAGTAGAAACTAAAAAGATCGATGATTTGAAAGATTTTCTGAACATGAAAAATAAAAAATCGTACTATCATTCCTCAAAATGTCAATGTCACAAAAACTCTCCCGACCAAGATCACGCGTACGTCCAATTTTCACTTGAATTTATTCTTTATATAAAATCTTCTTTATTTTTAATAAAACGTCCGCGGTTAATTAAACCTTTTCAGATGTAAAATATTAGATGTATTATTGAATGTAGTTATATAGCACGCAAATGGGCTATTCTGAATCGTGTGTGGAAAATTCGCCGCAGAAAATTTCGCCGCATAGAAGAATCGCCGTACGAAAAATCGCCGCAAGAGCATTTTGCTGTGAAACAAGTATTTGTGACAGCATGAAAAATCGACAGAAGAACATTTTGCCGTAAGACAAGTATTTGTGATAGCATGAAAAGTCGACACAAGAGCATTTTGTTGTAAAACAAATATTTGTGATAGCATGAAAAATCGACACAAGGGCATTTTGTAGTAAAACAAGTATATATTTGTGAAAAAAAACAGTTAGGTTCAGGGTATGTTCTTCAATAACAAATCTTTTTTGAATAAAAAGGTACTTCAAAAACCTAACGGTACAGCAAAATGCGGCGATTTTTCATGCAACGAGATTTCCTACGGCGAAATTTCCTGTGTCGAACCATCCTGAATATTTTTTTTGCATGTAAATTGTTTGTGCACCATTGTTTTAATATTAAAATATAGACTTATAGATATAGAGTATCAATCGTTTCAGATTATCACAACGGTTTATTATTTTCGTGTCATATTAATATCAACTCAAGTTTTTGATATCTTTCACAAAAAGGAGGTTTGATGGAGCAAACCTAAAAATAACGAAACGAACTTGACGCAGAATTTTCTTCACCAAACATTTATGGTATAATTTATGGTTTTCCAGCATATCAACAACGGTGTTTGAAACAATGAATAACAAAAATATAAACATGAGTATGCGGTACAGATTCAACGATTTTAGATGGCCTTGCCAATGGCAACTCGTGAGTGATTTAAAATTTCTGAACTATGTGGCATTTAGAACAATTTAAATATATATCAATGATCAATCAATAAGACTTTACTCACTATATTCATCATATCAAACCTACATGGGATTATTTTCAACTTGACTTCAATCTGATTAAAAATCATAAGAAAAATTGGAATCCCTTTAGAAAAGAAACTGTTATAATTCAAAAATTAAAGTTGCCCCATTCCATATTTACTTTCACAGTCATACAGACTACAGCATCTATCACAAGTTGGGTATTGATGAAACTAAACTGTCATAAAAAAATCCCTTAATGCAACGATTTTTTTTATTTGCAATGAATTTCCTGTACTTACGCATATTTGTTTTTTCATATTTGGATCATTTTCTTTTCGTATAATTCAAAATTTTTCTCATGATAATTTACATATGTGATGTATGTGAGCATCCGATTTATTATGTATACTTATATAGTACAACTGCGGTCAAACAGGAGGCCCGAATGAATATGATTTGGATATTGCTGCGGTCTGGGATAAAGGAATCACGGGAAAGGGAATGGTCGTTGCGATTGTGGATGACGGAGTTGATTATAATAACATTGACATTGCACCGAATTACGTAGGTATTTAATTTCCATACACGAAATGCTAACTGAAATTAAATAGGAAAATTTAATCATGATAGATCCATTGGAGTTTGCGATGTTATTCGTGACCTTCGTTTATTTTTGAGGCAATTCAAAAATAATGCTAATACAGAATTATGAAAGATAGCAAATCGGAATTATACGTTTGATATCAGTTGCATGTATTCAGAAAAAATAGGCTATCAAATATATTAGTGAAATACGTACTTTTCAACAGTATGTGTATTTACTAATTCCAAGTCGATACCAGGTAAAACTAACCCCGCAAAAGATTCAGTTTATTCAAGTGTTCAGCAGTTTTTTTCTCTCACGTAAACAAGTTTATTCACATTCTAAATAATGAAGGGCAGTAAAAAAATTGGATACACAACAGGGAGTATATTAATATAATATTGTTAAGTAATTATAAGCTGAAAATAGAACACATTGACACAATTAAATTACCAATCTTTATATAGGATAAAAATGCAAGTTTCGACTTCGTCGAATATCCAGACAGTGATGGACCGTTGCCGTATAGTGACAAACCGTAAGATATTTTGTTTTCCTACTTAATTTTAATTTCCTTTACTAGCGTATTTTTAAAAAAACACCAAAAATTATTTCTCATAATTTTCCATCATTTACAGACATGGTACTTATTGCGCGGGAGTTGTTGGAATGGCAGCAAATAACGGCTATTGCGGTGTTGGTGTCGTACACGATGCCAAAATTGGCGGTAAGTTTATTTTAGAGCATGCTGTTCAAAAAGATGCTGAACAAAATATAATTGCTGTTATATATAGAGAGATGTATATGTAAGGTATATTTGATGTTGAGTGCTAAAGAAAATTTTGATTTATGCAATTATCTCACTCATGAAAGCACCGCATTTAGATAAATCTTCAATCAAGGGATAACTAATCAATAACTTCTTTTTCAAACATTTCCCGAAAACGTAACAGACTGAAGCACAAAAAATTCGTGAATATTGTTATGATTTTAATTAAATGTCAAAAATAAACTTTTTTTTATTTTTTAATTTGCAGGTCTTCGAATGATTGGGCACAAAAGCACTGATGTGAGAGAAGCAGCAGCCCTCATCTATAATGCAAATTATATCGACGTATCATCGTGAGTATTGCGGCTATTACTAAATATATAAATATATATGCTGTAAACATTATTACCATCACCCAACTATGAACATGGGGTGATAAATTGCGATTCAATGTACAGGTAACACCAAAAACATTTAGAATGTCCGATCCCAAATAGACCATCCAACCTTTGTTGTTGAGACTTTTTTATTGCAGTAATGGAGAGTGGGTCAGTTTTTCAGTTACTCTCGATTTTTTGTCACTTGCAAAACACAAAGTTTCGTATCTCAATGATGAAAATGCAATTCACCGAAGCCAGATTATGGGTCGCATAAACAACCGAGGTAGCTCACTTGAAATATGTTTCGGACTTGTGCGTGTTATAAATTTAAAGGATGGAAATGATACAGGAAAATCATAATTAGTTCATTTTTGATAAAAAAAAAATCAGTCCACGTAACCTACTAATAGGAAGCTACTGCAAACAACACAAAAAGTAAACCGACAAACAGAATGAAGAGATACCTGGGAGTCGAACATAACTTAGTATATATAAAGTTGAAAAACGTTTAAGTACGCACCCACCCACCAAAATTATATTGCAAGCTCACAAAACAGTGAACCCGATTCAAAATTGGGCAGTACTTTTAAAGCAATTCAAAATGAGAAAACACGTAATAATCAAATATAGGAACATCAGGAAATAATAACAAATCAAATATATCACAGTCATTTGACGCATATCAATTAGTTTCCGGAAAGTGATATGCAAAAAGCACTAGCGCAACAAATACAATAATAGCATTACAATCACAGTGTCACTCATCGAAATAATGGAATTTGAAATTCAGCAAATAAGAGCGTTCATAACTTGAATAAACTCAATTGTAAACAAAAAAATCCAGGAAAAGTCATCTGCAATCGCTTTTAAGGCTCGTTTCTCAAAATAAGAACTGAGCAAATGTTGACGACGCAATCTGACGTTGTCATTTTAAATAAATCCGAAGTTGTCATTTTAAATAGTTTCGAAATTAGCCATTCCAAATGCATGTTACAAATGCAAGTTACAGTACCAAATAGGTCCGAAGTTAACGTTCAACATGATCCGAAGTTACCATTCCAAATGTGTCCCAAGTTACCGTTCAAAATGATCCGCATCCTGCATAGTGTATGTATATGCATAGTATACTATACTAGACAAAGTAGGCCGAATTGTTAACTAACCCATACCCAAACAAACAGCGAATATTGCGAAAGAATTTTCTAGAACACAAACTAATGTCCATGAATAAATCGGTGAACAATTCTTACATATGCAGTTAATGGTTCTTCAACTTTAGATCAGATTTATGCTATGGCCGCTTCTATTTATGTTTCAGGAATTCATGGGGCCCGTCGGACAATGGGCACTTGTTCCGCAAACCACCAAGGCTTACAGCTACATCTCTGCAGCGTGGAGCAGAACACGTAAATTATTTCGTTTATACAATGGTACTGTGGTTGAGAAAACACTTCAAGTTTGGATTGAAGTTCCATTTAAGTTGTGATTTGATACTTTGTGTGGATGTATTATACTGGCAACAATCTTACAGTGTGGTTCAATCAAATTCAGAAACTATGTCTCTGGATTCCCGTCTGATAAATATCGGATGTCGTAGTAAATGGTTTTGAATAGTCCAAAACTTTTTGTGCAATATTTTTTTCAGGGGAGAAATGGAAAAGGAAATATTTATTTATTTGCTTCCGGCAACGGTGGATTAAGAAACGATCATTGTGGGGCTGATGGCTTTTCTTGCAATATTTATACAATTTCTATCGGTAAGTTATGATTTATTGCTTGAACAAGACAAAATGACGCCCGCACCTGGCCATTTTTTCATTATTAACGATCGGTCTATGAATCCATGCTGCGATGAATTGGTATCTAATACTCTCAGTATACATCATCAGAGAGATTTCTCCCTCTGATTTGCATTTTATATAAACTGTCCTAAAAGTGAGGGATTTATTTTTTTAAACTGCGATATAAAACGTTTTTTTCCACCTCATTGAAACCAAGTATAATATTTAAATTCGAAACGACTTTAATTTTGCCCACAACCGAATGCGAAGCGAAACTAAATAAACCCTATAATATATTATTATTCCAAAATGAAAATAATACACCCCGAAAACGTAATATAACTTTTAAATTTTCACTAATATTATTAAGGAGATTTCGACAACACCATTTGGAATTTTTCAAGACAAATAAATCATTTTTTGTTCTTATTGTATCTTAGTGTTTTGTATATTTTTCAGCCTCTAGCTCCCGGAATGGTTTGAATGCTATTTATAGTGAACAATGCACATGTATTATGGCAACACTCCCTTCTACTGACACACACTCCAATCCATTTGATTATGATATGATGGTATGATGGGATTTATATACAACGATTCTTATTTTTTGTAACTTGATGCCCAACAACTCTTTGGCACCAACTTATAGATCAGTTCAAACGGCATAATACTTTGATTAGATATTTTAATATAGTATACTGCTTGGCAAATCGGAACCAGAAATTTATTTGCAAAATAGAACCCTATACTTTCTAATTGACGTTGCCATTGATCGTAATTTAGTCAAAGTCTTGATTTGTATCCAAACAAAGATCGATTTGCTCTATCATCGGCATGCAATCTTGCAGAGACAAAAAACAGTATGCATTAACTGCGCATGTGTAGCCAAAGCACTGTATTAAGATCTAACTTTGCAACTAGATTTCGAAAACGGTCTGAAGCCGTTAATATTTTTTTCTTAGTTTGTTATCCACTAATTGAATCAAGCTCGCTTATAGATTACGACGAGTCTGCACAACGGGTGTGTAAATAACTTCCGAGGCACTTCTTCTGTCACTCCTCTTGCTTCATCAGTTGCTACAATGGTACTTCAGGCGAAGTAAGTGGAAGAAATGTGTGTGCATGCATCTGACGAAATGTCGTTAATTTGTCTCTCATCTTATGTTTCATTCACAGCCCTGCCTTGACATGGAGAGATGTTCAGCATTTGATAGCTCACACTGCATTAGTTGTTGATCCTAACAATGACAACTGGCAAATTAATGGAGCCGGCTTTCATGTCCATACCTAGTGAGTATTTTTTATTTTTGTTGTTCCCGAATTGACCACGGAGAACTTTCCGCTAGCACCACAGTCAAGGAAGTAAAAACATAATGGTAGACATTTCCACAATGTTGTATTGTTATTTGCTTTAGTTACGGATTTGGTGCGCTGAATGCCCTTCACATAACAACAGCCGCCGAAACATGGATCAATGTCGACAGACAGAGGTTGTGCAAACTTCAACATCCGAAATCTCACAGGTAGTCTAATCCAAAAAAATTCAGCTAAGCTTAGATCAAACAAGTACTTATTCAGGAAAATTTTTAATACTCTTGCCCTCATATATAGCAACCAAAATTGACTTTATGCTTTATAGTAATCCAAATTAGATTTGAAAAAAGAAAACAACACAACTATATTTATGCAACGCAACATACGACGTCATGTCATTGATGAGATTTCAATTATCAAATTTTAATCTCTCTTTAAGTCCGGTGAACGTAATAATGCCAAAGTGGGGTCAGTTGATTGTAGTTTTGTGTTTAAATATACACAGTTTTTAAAAGCTATGCAGAGAAAACATCGCAAACAGCCACATTCAATATAACTATAACCGTAGCCATTTACCCGTATTTCACTCATAAGAGTTTCCTGAATCATAGGAATTTTCTCTGCGACGTCACTCACTGTTTAATCAAAACGTGAGCGAGCTGATTCAATATGACTGTAGCTATATTCTATGTGACATAACTTATCTATCAAATAGGGTTATACCAAGTGGTGGAACATTGACGATCCAAGCACAGACAAATGGGTGTCAGGATACCGAAAATCAAGTTTTAAAGTTGGAACATGTTCAGGTGTGTTTCTAATTTGTTAGCGTAATATTCGTATTGAAATAAAAACAACGAGTCAAACTGCCATTATTATATTCCAGGTTGTTATAAGCTACGATGTGAAGTGCAGAGGAGATATCAGCGTGCGAATAAAATCACCATGCGGAACAATATCACAGGTACGCTATGAACTGACGAAATCAGTGTGCATATCCCTATCAGACCATGCTTGCGAGATTTGTCCCATTGGTTGTTCAAACCCATATTTTTGTTCGCGGGACAGACAAATTGCTCTGTAATATGATACCAAATAATTTACAGCCATGGTTGTAATAGTAATGCTTCCACTTAAAAAAATGATTTGTCAGTATTAGTAGTAAAGACGCATATACCAAATTGCAATAGAAATGCAGTTATCTGACATGAACAACGAGCAAATTGAAATTCTTGCTCTTCTTTATACTAACAAAGCCAAACAAACATGACAACAAAACCCAATATTTTCAGTGGAATAAGTGGTTTTATTTTAAGATTCCTTATACGCCAGTTTCTGTACTTGCATCGTTTGTAATTATAATTACTACGCATTAATCTTCATATATGAACATTGTCTTCTAAACCGTCGATATAAATATATTGTATATATATATATATAACAAACTACAAAAATATTCAAAGCTTCATAACTGATGCTTATATTACAGTTAATGAACACCAGAAGACTCGATGATAAAACCCTCTTAATTGATTGGCCATATATGTCAGTATTTCATTGGGGAGAAGATCCTAGAGGAACGTGGACTTTGGAGGTAAAAATTCATTTTACATAAATAACCGTAGCATTTCATTAGTTGTTGTGTTTACATAAAATTGATTTTTTATTAAATGAATTCCGTGTTATGTATTTATTCTTTTTGTTTTGGCTGTGGTCAAATTAGGAAGTGGTATTAACATCATACACGCTGCATGGAGGAGAATAAAAATATGAACTGATTATTTAAAGCCTTATTCAGAGTAAACCTGCAAAACATTTCATAACAATATGTTTCAGATAACCGACAACAAAGGGACAGCTAGATGTACTCGTTACCAAAATGAAGATATGGCAGGGCATATGTGGAAGTATGAATTATTATTATGGGGAGTCAAGGAGCAAACAAGAAGGTACAAATAATTCTTTCTTGAAATTGTTCAATACCTAAAAGAGTGTATTCTAGGTACAGAATATGTAATACCATATAGTTCTCGAGTAAATTTAATGTGATTTAGTTCATGATACAATACACTGAATTTTGTGATATGAAAATTATGAAAATGTGTTTTTCTTTGTCGAACTGTTTTTGTATATATATATTGGCCCCATTTTTTAGAAATTTATCCTCACCGGTTTGTGATCGTAGACAAGTACGAGATTATATGGAGAACAAAAATCAACGAGATAAACATTTTCTGCAGCTTATAAAAGGTGCGTTATTTAATTTTTTATAGTCAACTTAATAAACTTAATTTTTTCAACTTAATAAAAATGCCATATTGAAGCATTCTATATCATCACGGGATATTAGGCCACATTTGTTATATAGGCGAAACGTTTTCAAACGTAAAACAAGCGACGACGCAATTACCTGCGGCTAATTTTCCGGGCACGTTTTTTATAAACTCTCTTTGTATTACAAATAGCATTATGAAAATTGATATCGAAACTTAACGATAAATCGCTTTACTCTTATATCCATTTCAATAAACAGCTGGAAAAGTGACAGACAAAAAGATCATTCGCCAAGAGTTTGTTGAAGATTTCAGCGAAGTTATTCAAACCAAAGATGAAAATTTATTGCAACCGCGCCCGCCCGGACCACCAAAAGTAATAACTTATTACTATGATGGTATTTCTGCAATTTTTAAATTAGTTTAATCTGTTTTAAAATCAGTCAGTTTCTATCATTTTTTCGATTCTGTTGTCGACTATACTTTCCCAGTCACGGCAATGCAATTGAATAATACTGTTATTGAATAAGTTATCACAAAAGTATTATATGGCAAAATCACAGCACGATACCTTATCGAGTTCTTATACAAATGCGTTTACTGAATTTACTAACTATATTTATATTGATAGCACAATACCATAACATAACGTAGCATTCTCCACTCGCACTCAAAATTTGAAAGTACATTTTGCATTGATTCTTGGAACCCTTTTTTGAAATTGTTTGTATCCACGAGTCTTCACGTATACAGTAAAGTTAAAATTGTACGTTGTATTGTTTTTCATATTGAAAAGATACGATAATTCGAATATTGCCCGCTTACTTATCCATAACGAGAACTGGTTTCGAGTACCAAGACACTAAAACTGAGCTTAACTTTTCCAGAGTAAACCGTATCAGACGCCTTTCCAACGTGTTGCCATGAGTGTATGGAGAAGAACTTTCCATGGAACTGAAAGTAAATCGTTGGCACTTGCATCATATGCAGTTGATGGCGTTCAGCCTCACAAAGATCTCATTCAACAAAAGCATTTCGAAGTAGTGCGAAATAAAATAGCTGATTCTTTAATAGATGCCGCCCAAGTACAAAATGACGATGGAGAACGGATCATAAGAGGCGACCTGCATCACTATGCTAAAGCGTTAATCTCAGGGAGCAAGACAAACAAATTGTCGCTACCTACAAAGGAGGCAGCACTCATTTTTAAAAGACTCTCTCTGTTTTGGAATTAAAAGTCACACAGATCTTGGACATGTTTATATATAGTCGAATTTTAGGAAATTATAGACTATTTATTTATATATAGAATATATACACAGTTTTAAATAGAAATTAGTGGTGTATCAAAATATTCAATTTGGATTTCATCTAATCATGTGTGTTCATTTCTCTCTTGTTCGAAGAATAATTAAAAATTTGCAGTCGATCATTAAATGAGCAGCACTTTTATAATATATTCTGGCTCATCACAATTATGTATCTTTGTGTGCTGCAATAATAATAGAATTCATCTGAATTGAGTCGTGTTGAACAATTTAAAACAAAATTATTATCGTGGTCTTTAAGTCGACAAAGAAATAATGACTGCTGAATATATTAATTTCAAAATTGTTATTACATACGAATCAATGTAATAGTGGGTGCGAATCAGACATGGTGCTCACATGCAGTTGTCGGTCTAGCTATGGGAGAGTGAATTATAAAGCCACCGCTTCTGATATACCTTTCATAAGTTTGTAAAATATAGGTTCGAACTCTTTTTTATGACATCGATAGACTATAGTTACATTCACATTGTGCTGAAACCCCTTCCGTTATTGATTACTAACACTTTTCGCTTTGCGTGGGACTGTCTTTTTTACACTTGCCGCGTACTCATCAATCGCAACATATATAATGATAATATGCGAGCGCACTCAATCCCATGACCGGGTTTTGTTGACGCTGCTTATTTTTTCTTAAATGAACAGACAGTATATGTTTGGTGTACTGTTTGAAATGTTTACTATAATGTAGATATATATGAGTTCATTTTTGGACAGGCTGTCAATGGCAGAGTAGTGCGAATAACACGAATTTCATGGCTTTTAGGAATTTTCTGGCAGTTTCGCGTGAAGATCGTCTACTACAGGAATTCGCAGCTTATGCGAAATCCCCTGTCATTGATATATGAAAGAAACAGTTAAAATCAACTAGTTACATTTTTACACTTTTACACATATGTGGAATTTGTACCACGATTACTACATTTGATAATTATCCTGTAAAAGTATTCTAGATATTCTCTGAATCATTTAGTTTTGTGCAATTTATTTGGTTCGTAAACAGTCGACTGACTCCGTATTGATGAAAGTTGGAAAAACATCGCACCATTGTTTGATTCTCTTGGTTGATTCGTTAGTATGGATTATTTTTGCAATGTCTTTTTCCATCATTCCAAATGTTCCTCCTACGAAAACATTCAGTATATTAACTTAATTAAAGATAAACAATCGCACGTTTATATATTTCTCTCCTAACAAAAATATAGAGGTTGGCACCTGTGTGGATGAATAAAATCCGCTTTCCTTTAAAGCGACCTGGATTGATCCTAAGCTCTGTTTTGAGACCTTTAAGAGCTTTTCCTACGTACACAGGATCACAGTATATTCCAGTTGTTCTTATAGTCGACTGATTAATTACTGCAAAAACAAACAAGGAATTATTACCCGCTATTCGCAAATTTGGATATATATATATATATCAATCATTCAGCACAAGTGACACGAGAATAAATATTTTTTCCTCCTTGTCTTTGGATTCAATTTAGTGTCACAAAAGAAGAAAAATCAGGTTGTCTGTGCACTTACTAACATCTTTCTTCGTGTAGACATTGTATCCTCCGCCGATATAACCGTCAATGATATCAAAAAGATCTTTGGATTTAACATCTAAACCGAAACGACACAATGTCTTGTCCATTTTGTCTTGAACTAATTCTATGGTGCTTGAAGTCAGGACGGGGTGAATCCTATAAAAAAATCATTTATTTGAAAGAAAATATAAACAGCTCAAATGGTTCAAAATGATTCGAAAAATATATCATCTGTACAACAATTAATTTCCAGAAACAAAAGTATATACTTTGTCGGTGAAAGTGCATTGTCTTCTGTTTTTCCCCTTGCGTCAAATACAAATACAATTAACAACGAACAGAATATATATCGTTACTTTAATTTTGAATGTCAAAAAGACTGTCAATTCTATAATACTGTCATATAAATATAAAAGAACAACTACCAAACGACTTGAAAACGTGTTTACGTAATTACTTGAGTTTACTTCCGGTAAGATAGTTTCCGATTCCAAGACCAATAGCAGTCCCCGAAGTTCCATTGGCAAAAACAATATCGTCATAACGTTCGTGAACTTTCTGTTTCATCAATTCTTCCCAAGCGCTGATGTAACCAAATATGGCGAGCTCGTTGTCGCCCCCACATGGAATATGATACGGTATACTTTTGGTAGTCTCTCTGAATAAAGAATTTACATAAGTAATCACGAAGTTAGCTATAAATAGTTTCGTTAAATAATTGCTTTCAAATTTCCAGTATTCAAGCGATCACTTTAATTTGTTTTTGACTCGTAAAATATTTCTTTAATTAAAAATTTTACGAATTTTGAAAACTTGCATTGCCTAAGGAATTTTTTGCCAAATGGATCGTAGCGAGGCAATCGTGCACATGTATGTTGTTCTCTCTTGTATTCAATATTTTATTCAATGACTTAATATGTTTAGCGTATATCGTAAGTAGAATAAGCCATAATGTACTTGGTAAAATATCGTCGTTTAACTAACTGAAATACTAACATTTATAAACAATATTTTTTCTACATTACCCGATATATTTTGCCAAGTGCTTGATATAATTTTCAAATGTCTCTGTCGTGAACGGTTGCCATGGTAAAATGTATATATTCGGACTACCAGCTTCCATCATCATAAAATTTCCTGATGTACTGTATGACTCGCCGATCTACATTCCAGAGGTATTATATGATAGAAACAAGCTTTATGCTATTATCTCATTATTTAACAAAATAGGGAAGTGGTGAGGACATGTAAGCATACAATGAAGCAGATTACGTTTGACTAATTTTTTAATTCTATAATCAGGTAATCAGCAATTACGTAGACCTAGATCGGTGTATTACTGTGTAATTAATGCAATAAGTTAATTCAAATTCGAATTCTCACTTCTTCCCTTGAACGAAGCACTAGATGACAGTCGAGACCCAATTGTCTAGCAGCGACAAGGGTAGCACGAGAATGATTAGATTGTGTTGTACCACCTGTTATCACAGATTTGTAACCTTTGACCATCGCATCAGCAAGAAGAAACTCAAGCTTTCTAACCTGATAATTAGAATGGATGATTCGAACTGCAGGAAATATTAAGAGGTGTTACTTGCACTCTACCATATTTTAATCTATTGAATATGAGTTTTGTTACAAGCTGTCTTAATTCCATCCTGAGGTGTTTTTCAAGCGAGACGTTAACATAATATATAAACTTTTATTACTTTTATTCAACTCTTGGCATTGCAGGAGGGAAAAGGTATTTTGTAAGTCCCACATTATTTTAACTAATTTGGTACGCGAAATTTTAGTTCCTTAAAGAAAGCAGATGTAATTTCCGTGGCATCTGTACATGATATTTGGCCTAGTGGTTAAAGCGCTGGGCCTAACTAGGCACCGCAGGATTAAATCCTATGCCCACTACCTCACTCAGGGTATGATAAATTGGGTAGGCAATGTCAATCGAAATATTCTGGTTCTTCCAAAAATAGCTCATTACTTAGCAGTGCTTCTTTTGCGGAGTCTTGTTCGGACAAAAAGACACATTATATCATTATATGGAAATGTAGTTTGTGAGTAGTTCAAAACAAAAAATGTCACAATTGAAGGGCGATTATGATTTCGTCTGATCGCCCCATTAATGTTAGATAAATTTTACCTATTATTTTAATGGAAAATGCAAACTACACCAAATGGGATTTGATTTTCAAGAGTTTCTACGTTTCAAAAAGGTTTGACAAAGAGAGGTAAAACTGTTCCTCTCAGCATGCAATTAAACTCTTAATGCGTTCCTACTAAAATTGTGAGGCTTATCACCTTCTTGGTAACAACAAGAACATTTCGTCAAATAAAGCAAGTTTGAAATGGGTGACCATAAATTTGTATCACTTCCTGCACTACGGTACAGTTACGAATCTTACCGGTTCCGTGAATACAATAAAGAATTTTAGTGTAAATTATATCACGAAATTGTAGCAAACTCGGTCGATTATGTCATAAGACATAATGTTGTAGGTGTATATAAAAGCAGCATACATGTTTCCGGAAATACATCGTAATGTTTATATTTTAACGGTTTGCGGATTATACAGTTATGTTGATCAAGTTCATAATGACGAGCAAGTCAACAATATACATCTGTAGCAGACGACAAAATTAATTAGTACGCTTAACGTACTTCAGTCACTTATTTATTACCTCACGTGGACCAAGAAAAGGCAGATAATTCGCCTTGTTTATGATTATAAGTTTGCTTAATTAGGACAATGCCACAAACCTCTAATACGCAAAAATGAAATTGCATATTTGCAACGAATAAAATATGATTATTCTATCATATTGGTACATTATTGCTATATTTTACTTTATAAATATTTCAATATTGTGGGTTAAGGCAAAATAAGTCAAAACTCAGTGTTAGTATTACCTTGCTTCCACTCAAAGAGCATCCTGTTAGATCATCTCGTTTTATATAAATCGTATAATCTTCTGGAATTTCAGTAATATTCCACCGGTGGATTGGAGTCGGTTTCACCGCAAGCTGATAAACAACGAAAGATAAGTGATTAGCATCACGCGCAATGAAAATGTTATGCTTAGTAACATACTAACCGTAACTTGTCGTTTTGGTAGAATTTTCAAATCTCCGATCCAAGATGGTGCTGTATATTCAGATAGTTCATGGAATATATCTGACGAATATGAAGACATATTGGGACCAAACTGAATTGGAAATATGAAACCAGTATATAAAGCTAAAAAACTGTAAACGAACAGTATGTACGAAAAAATTATTTAAAATAACACTCTATTTTGTGAGGAGCAACATTCAAATTGTAATTATAGTCCATTTAGTGATCCACTATTTCATTTGCAGAGTTGTGCTATAGGCGATACGAGTATGTTAAAGTGGGAAGCGCCTGAGATTCAATTATACCGATGTCGCAGGTTAAAAGTGAAGACTTATTCCTCATATAAAGAATTCACTGTAAAATTTTCACCATGACTCATATCTTTTGCGGCAAAATGTTCATCCCTTGAATGAATCTTGATCGATATTCATCTGCGTTGGTTTGGTTTACTTGGTCATATCCTGCGTATATATGAGCTAAGACCTAAGTGACGGTAAACTACAACTCGGCATATGTGCAGTGCAACCGAGATTTTGTCTAGATACCAGCCCTCTTTAAACTGTTCATTTGTATTCAATAATATGTACAATATCAAAACAATTATTTGAGAAACAGTGTATGCAGTGTCTTTGTCAGATCAATATCAAGACAGCATATAAGAACAGTTTAGCAATCGATTCAAGAAGCAATTCGATTCCATACTGCTTCATTCCAGACTACTCACTGCCTTACTTGTTTAACAACCGTACATGAATTTACATCGTTATTGTCAATGTTCGAACCTCACCATGAAATATTTTTCCCATAGCTCTATTATCTCGATTGTTTACACAAAGTACACCTCAATTCGCCTTTTATCAGCAAGCATATCAATTTTATACATTACAATAGAACCTTAAAAAAACTAAGCTAGACTATATATTGTATTCTTCGGTAGGAGAATTTTCTAATCGAAAAAAGCTAAAAAACTTGCTTGAGTAGGTTCATCATATAGTGAATACCTACATTTATAATAGATAAATAAAATCGCGGATAAACACGCAGACTTTTATAAGCTGTAAAGTATGTTTTCGGCGCAGAGCTAGACACAACAGCAATTATCGAAAAAAAAATATCTGTTCAGTTTCCGACTTGGCTCTTCGTGTATTTTAAAATAAATTAGCAGTTGCTGTACGATATTTTTCAGTATGCCTACTGACATTTCAACAACGCAGTTTTGAAGGCAGGATTAAACCTGAGCTCTGGAATGCCATCGTTGCAAAAACTTTGTTTTTCGAAACTTATTTCGTGAACGAAGTGCGTTTCACTGTTGGGTCTAACTGACTCATATAAATTCAAGTGAAAAATAATCAAATGAAATATTTTCAGGTGGTTTGTAAATTCTCTATCAGCCTATTTCAGAACCGATTAAAACACCTATTCGAAAATACACGTCCCAATCATGTTATTGCGACTCAAATAGACATATGACTATTTCTACCAAAGCTCTCGGGGAATTTTATTAGTCAAAAATTCATTTAGTTCCATTTCGACAGGTACTAATTACCAGACCAACATCACATTTCTGTGTCTTCAAATGATGTATATATATTACAGTTTTGGAACGTACATAAAAACTAAAGCCCGTTTCCAATCGGACGTAGCACGGGATTAACGCATATATTTCAATAAGGCTTTGGGTGAATTGAACTGTACAACTCATTCATACACATAGTTAATTGATCGCACATGTTTCAATCGGAAATGAATCGAAAGTTCCGAACGTGAGTGCAACGAGTAGTATATAATGTATTTCGTCATCGTATGATATAATGGACATAACAAGAGTAATTTGAATAGGTATATTTTATTATTTTTATTTTAGCCTGCCAAAACAAATATTCTTCAAAGTAGTATGTTTTAAAACCATTCAGCATGAAAATGTTCTTTTTACTGTGGCCGGCGAATTTTTCTAGTGTAAGGTTTTGGGTGTAAGCATGATTGCTCAGGTTAACCGGATGAACTAATTAATAACATTCTCACATCAGTACAAACACAAAATACTTGAAAACAATAAAATGGCACACAAAAAACAGCATCGCTCGACTTAGCTAACTCGTCTACTTTATGAATGGCACAATTAATCTAGCTTGCCTTTCATAACTTAAATAAAAACTACACTTTTCCATCCTTTTTCCTGCTATGCACTCCGGGGCAATGAGAGCGAACTCAAATTTGCACGACAAAAGTTGTGCTGAATCGTTCAAAGCTGAAGTGTTCAAATGATCAGATCCGTTACATCAGACTGACTAGTCGGTGCTCTGTTGCCATCTAGCATATATGTCCTGTAATTTCCTTTTTCCAACTTAATCCATGATTTTATATATTTCATAAAAATGAGCGGAGTCTGTATACAATCCATTTGTAATCACATTTCCGTTTTCCAAGTTCCGATTAGATACAGTCTCGAATATTTTGGATATGTATGGGATTCTGGTTGAAAGTCATCAATTTTAATCAACTCGAAAACGTAGGGCAAACATTGATTGGGCGCAGCGTATAACTTTCATTGTGTTATCTACTTCATCTTGAGTCATAGGGGCAACTTTTCATTAGCCATCTGACACAAATACGCTGCACTATCTTTCGTCACAAAAAATTCATTTGATAAAAACTTATTGTCGTATGCAATCAAGACAACCTGTCAACTGAAGCTTACGTGCGGGATTGCTTCCGACGCAAAGCTAGACAAAACAGGAAATCAAGAATGCGTCTCAATCTGTCTCTGAGGTGCAGTTTTGAAAGATTAAGGAATTAAAAACGCTCAAAATTGTTGTGCCCTCACGTTTTTCACCCAAATAAAGAGATACTATATTACCTATAGTCAAGGTTACCATCTTCTTAGAGCAGTGCTCGTTAACCGGGTGTATAGTACACCCCAGGGTGTACCACATTAATAGAGTGCACTATGGTGTTCCCAGTGGTGGATTCATTTTTTGTCAGCCGGTTCCATCACAAAAGTCATATTTGTCACCCGGGTCTGTTACAAAAAGTCATCGAGAGTAACCAGTAATGCTAACCGGTTCGCTGATCTCATAAAATTCCGTGAGAAGGTTCTAAAGAAACGGTGCGAACCGGCTGAATCCCACCACCGGGTGTACCGTACCGAATGTTGTAAGGTACACACTATCACACGATATGCTTCTAACCCAGGAAAGACTTTCGATGGCTGCTAATATTTTCAAGATATCTTTTGGCTTGCAAAATTGTCTTATCCAACAGCCACATTTAAAATCACGAATCAGTTAAATTTATCAAGGGGAAGGATGTGATATTGATCCAGCTAGTAGCAAGATTGAGTCTTTCAAAATGAAATGTGGCAGAATAATGTATCAAAATGTGATGTCTGGACTATTTCGTTGAGACTTGTGAATGGGGAAAAAGAAAACCAAGATGAGATCAATTGTACATTCCGTGTTTCCCCGAAAATAAGGCCTCGCCTAAAAGTAAGACCTAACCTGGATTTTTAAAATGATCTCAATATGAGCTCTCCCCTACTTAAAATAGGACCTACTCCTAATTGGTAGCGCGAAGTTTTGACCTATTCGATAGCAAGACATTTAAACGTTTCGAATGATTAATAATCTATATTTAGCAATTATTTTAAATAAGAGCATGTTATTTATGTGTGAGTATATTTGAAAATCTCGTAATTCTCTACTTTGTAATTTTGTTTTTGATAAATGAAAATAAAAGACATCCCCTCCAAAATAAGCCCTACTGATAAATTGAAATAGGACCTTGTCTCATCTTCGTGAAAACACGGTAAGCATTTTGATCTGCTACTGCTAAACTTCGGTGGCTATTTTCCGGATGTTGAATATCAGAATCTTGGTTCTCTAATATGGGCCATTCAGCCATTTACAACTAAGTGGAGAGGTTGCTCTTGACCACATAACTGGTGAATTGCGTGAATTACGATCAGATCTTGTACAAAAAGCAGAGTTCAACACGTATAAACTCTACAACTAATTTTTGGCAGCACTATTAGGAGTTCCCGAGTAACGCAATCTTTCACAAAAAGCTGTCACCATTCTCGTCCGAATGCCTACAGCCCTACGACATACCTTTCCGAACAAGGGTTGTCTGCACTCATTGAAATTAAATCCAACAAAGAACAAATGGCCGGTGGAATCCAACAGCAAGGGTCACATTAACTAAATAATAAACTATTGCGTCAACATAAATTATATACCCTATTTCTTTCGTATTAAAAATGTAAGACGGGCGGGTTGTACCAGATTTTAAGTAATGGTTGAAAGGGTGGACCTTTACAAAAAAGGTTGACGAGCACTGACTTAGAGTCAAAAATAGGCACGGGTGTCAAAAGGTTGATAGGATGTGATCCCTACACGATTTTCTTATTTTACTTCCATGCTCTGTTCTACTTTCGAATGGATACTGCAACATGTTAACATTGAACTAGAAATAAAAAAGACTCTGTTGGAATATATCGAATAGGATTTCAAATTTATGTATATTTAAAAGCAATCTTACTATTTCCCAAGTATCGGACGCTTCCTTACAATCTACCACGTTTTATCAAGTCCGCTTAGGTTCCGCCAAAAAAACCGTTATAATTCTGATCTCAAAAGATTTTTACACTCGCATTGCCGAACTCGTTCACTTATATTTTCGATCCAATGTTCATCGTACGCATCCACTTGCAGTTGATACACAGGCAAGTCTGATAACCACTGCTCTAGGCTACATTAGACCCACTCAGGAAAGCAATTACCCACCCCCGTCATAGACGGGTTTTATTTAATTGGTCCATTGCGCTGATACAAAAGAAAATACCCGTCCCACAAACCACGAACTAGGAGAAAATACCCGTTCCAGGAAGACCTCGTAGGCGAGACCGAACCATGAGGCCACATTGAAAAGTGGTTAATCGACACAATAATAACGCTGCGAAGCGTGAATACGCGTTGCGTATAATAATTATTGAGGTGTATTACCTTAATGATGATATTAAACGCCGTCCTTCGCTTCTACGGAAGCTTTGTACGCTAAACATGAACGAGTCATCCATGGTTCAAAGACAAAATAAGCACGCAACTCAGAAACAAGCACTTTTCTTAGAAATGAG